TATATTTATGCCACAGGATCGCAGGATGTAATAACTTAATATTTAATATCATAACTAAGTCACCTTTAAACTTTAAATTATCCTTGTGTGTCACATTTTCATGACCTCTGAATTGTTTCCCTGTTCCTCCTTCTTTAATTGTTAAAGCAATCGTTTTTGGCGACTTCAATATTTTTTGTTTATAGTTGTACAAGGAAATACTTGTTTTGAATATCATGAGGTAAAATAATCTTGAAACAAGAGTCCGAAACAGACCAACATTTTTTTTTTAAAATTGAAGGATATTTTATTGGTCTGTTGTTCAAGGGCTGTGATTCAAGCATCTAATGCTGTTTTTTCTATCTTCATAGTATTTTCTCCACCCCCCCCCCCCAGACACTGAACAAGTAGGCATATATTGTTTCTATAAACCTTCATAGCATCTATAGAATACAGGTGAAAACGTACATAACAATCACAATTGCATTCAAAGCCCTATGTATTGCGAAATCAACTTGTGTGTAGATTCGAACATGATGGCATGCATGGATGATTCGTATGTAAAGTGTTTCCACATATCAGTGAACATGTAAAGAAAGAATGAAATGGAGATGAAAGGCGACAGGATCTAATTTTCCCACCATGTCTGCGCACCTCGAATCAGCCATGTCGCAAAACGGAGCAAGGTGTCGAGAACTTACAAAGTTGGAGGCACTTGGGTGTCTAGATATATGTCTTTCATGACTACAAAATTGCATTTTACTAAGATCGCATTTTACTCAGGGGTACCCTGTTTGTGTTTTCTACAACAAAAAAAGTTTGGATTTCCTGAGAGAGGATGGGGGGAGGGTGGAGGGGTAGCATGCTTTCATTTTTCCTAAGTTTTGCTTTAGTCATAGACCCTATGGTTTACTTCTCCAGAGCTCTTTGGAATTTTGAGAACCACGTTGATCTCTGCTCTTGTTCATTTTTCTTCTCTGTAATTGAAGAGCAGCTTTACTCTGGTGAGAAGTGACAGCGAGATGAACCCATTTGCTGTCCGATCCACATGTTAATCTGATAACCTTTCAGAATTATTGATATCACAGCTCCATTGTCCGATTACTTTGAGGAAGAAGCAAAAAGCAAAACGTTAAACTGATCAATCCAGCTCACATTTGTAAATATTTTTTTTGATTGGCTGCCAAAGGTCTCTGTGCCATCGTGGCCAAGTTCGAATGAATTGAAAAACAAAAGACGACGCTTTTATTTCCTCATTTTATTGTTTATGTATACGTATTGAGTTAATCATCAGGAATCATGACTATTGACAGAACATAAGAAAATGTTTTCTTGCACTTCAGGCGGGGAACTTATTTTTCCATGGTAGTACAAATGTTTAGACCACTGTGCATCCTGTAGATTAAATCATCTGTTTGGAGCCAGAAGGGCGTTAACCCCTTGACCCCTGAATTGTATAGGTCCAATAAGCTTAACACAGAGACCACCGGGTTCCTGTAAGCAAAGGGTTAACTTATCATTTTATACAGACCTAATGCCCTTCTGCGCTCCAAACAGATAAAATTAAACTTTGAAAAAAAGGAATTGAAAATGATGTGATGAGAAGCAGTACCGGTATTGTCTAGGTGATGATATTAGTATTAGTTTTCTTTGAATATACTCCTGCGTTTTGATATTGAATTTGAGTGTTTTATTAACTGTGGTAGGAATATACTTCCTATTCTTATCGAAATTGAAAACTTTACTTTTTGATACATAACATTTAACATTAATCACATTTCTAACAATTTTTCAAGATGTCTTTTCCTTGCATTCTAAGAAAAATTGATGAGCACTTAACTGTTTCCCTGACAATTTCAGGACGTTAATGAAGGAGTCCCTTTAAATATGAATGAAAATGAAATGACAACATTCCCCAAAACATTTGCTTATTGAAATCTGATAGCACAATGAGGCGGTAACATGAACCGTTATTTCGTCTTTTAAAAGATGCAACATTTCAGGCTACCTCATCATTCTTCACAGGCCCTTCGGCAAAGTCAATACCGAGCAAACGGGAGTGCTAACATCCATTTGCATTCTCCATGCAAAAAATGAATAAAAAATTCCCCGTGACATAATATGTCTGCTCTCTACTGTACATGGGAGAGAGCGAGAGAGAGATAGAGAAAGAGAGAGAGAGAGAAAGAGAGAGAGAGAGAGAGAGAAAGAGAGAGAAGAAAGAGAGAGGGGCAGACAGACATAGAGACATACAGAGACAGACAGAGAGAGAGAGAGAGAGAGAAAGAGCATTACCATGCGTTGCCAATTTAGTTCTCCCTTCACGTTCATGTTAAACTTCAGTTTTTTTTGTTTACTCGACTATGGCGGGTTAGATTCCGGTACGTGCCACTTTGTGTTCTTATTCTATAGCAAACGGCATTGGCAGCGTTTCGTTTCTATAGATAAATTTTCCTAACCCAGACACCCTACCTTCCCCCATTTCTCTTTCATTTTAGCTAATATTCTATCTCCTTCTATCCCTCTTTCTCATGTTTTTTTGTTTTTGTTCTATCCCAGTCTCTCTTTCTCTCCCTCTTCTCTTTTATCTTTTCACTGTTTGCTTTATGAGCTTTCGTTCAGGCTCTTGGTCTCGTACGCGTACCCGGTACTCCACTCAAACATGAAAGTTCTAAAGGCCAAAAGAACCATACATGCATGCACCTGCGTTAACATTTAATGAGATGATTATTTGTTTTTACTAATTGTTTAAAGTCCAAAGGTCTAATGTAGTCTTGATCTTTGATCCCCAATCCTGGGGGATGTTTCACAAAACAGTTGTTGTTATAAGCTACTGAAATCCTTGATTCTGATTGGTTATCAGCAGATTTGTCACTGATATTTGTCATTTGTCATTGAAAAAAGGCTTTGTGAAACAGGTCCCTGGTCCTGTCTGCGATCATATTATTTATAGATTGACACAAGATCTATTTGGGTGGGCGGGCGAGATTCAATGAATCTGTTAGTGAGTGTTCTTATTAGCTCAAACCCATTCTATTCTTCTGTAAACTTCAATTTCAGAAGAAGATTTAAAAAAATGATGGCATTTTATTTTGAGAAGACACTATGTGTCCAAGGAGCTTGTTCAATTCTACCTTGGAAGTTGCTGAAATACCCCCATTGCAACCTCCTTTAGAACATGTACCTACATCTGTAGGCCCAAACATTTGGGGACATATCTTTTAAACTGCCCCTCCAGAAAAGAAGAAAAAGAAAACGACACTCCCTATGTGATTAAAGTATTCTAATTCACTGTGCAAAATGTGTATGTAAAATCTTTCCTTTGCTTCAAATCGTCGCTGTTTTCACGAAGTGACGGTAGTGAGGAATATCGTAACGCAAAGTGAATGCAATTTTTTTTCACTACCGTCACTTTGTGAAAACAGCGACGAAATGTTCATACATTCATTCGTACTTCCAACCCTTTACTTATTCCCCAACCTAACAGAGACTTTAGAGATGTTCAATGTGCATTTCTTTTCTGATTGAAGTAGATCTATTTTTAAATGATCATTTTCCTACAGTACCTAATTGTTACTGCAATAATGCAATAAAAAAGTTAATTGTAGTCCTCTCTGTTTCTACACTAAATCATGTCAAATCTTCACACGGTAGATTTGGATTAATGCCTTTATGGAAGCCATCGGTTGCCTATATACATCCTATTGATGAACAAGATTTCACCGTCTTCCATTATTAGTGTGTCACACTTTGACTTGCCATTAAATGAACCGTAAGCCTGGCAAGATGGCTGTCATGTTGTAATTTGGTTTCTTCACAGTCAGAAGGGCGTTAACGAACAGCATCTCCGTAGAACTAATGCCCGTCTGGCGCTCAACTGATGATCTGTGGAAGTGTGTCTGACACGTAGCGTGTGTGCTCACATGTTGGGCCGTTGATAGGGGCAAACACGAGGAGAGAGGTGGATGTGAAGTCTGCTGGCATTAGGGGAGCAAACAAAGCTAGCTAGCATCGCGCCAAATTGAGGAATACCTGGAAATAACCAAAGCGAACGGCCAAGAAGAGTTATGGATAACATTATAGGCTCAGAGGCAGAGCATGACAAGCCATGATGGCTGTAAAAAATGGAGTTTTCATGATTCCATCTTAATAATAAAATAGTAATAATGATAATGAGTATTTGAAAGCGACATATCCATTACGCCAAATGCTCAAGGCGCTGGGAATGTTAACTATAATCAGATTTGAATTGCAATACATTTCATAATGGCATCTTAAAAATGTCCTTTACTAAAAGATTTATGTCCCATTGGCTTTCAAATTCAAAATGGAAATTCATGGTCTATGGTTTCTAATTCGATAAATCGCCATGGAAATATAGGGGAATTCACACACTGGCCTCCATCAGCTTTTATCAATAAAGACTGTTACATTATATCGATGTAGATAATGCAGTAATGTTAAAGGCGGGGAGTGTGAGAGAAGGATTCATGGAGGAAGTAAAAATACCATTTTTCAACCTTTTCTCGCGTTTGTTTAGCACGTCCTGTAGGAAGACATATCGCTATAAAGCATTGTGCCACTTTGTTAGCCATCCTTTGTCAATTATTGTTTTTTTTTCAGTTTCATGTTCCCTATTTGTTTTCCATCGTCTGTTATTTTTTTCATTAGCCTTCTGGTACAGGCTGTATTAAGGAGTAACTCCATGTTTACAGGACACTTGCATACTGTTGCCTTTGATGTTGCGATGCAGTCGGTGCCTAATTATCCTGTATTTTATGCTGATGATTTGAATTTAACCTATCCCTTTTGTGAATTCTCTTTTTCATTGTTCCTCCACAGGTCGGATCACAACAGAATTACGATTTAGCAGATTTTTTTCTAAAAGCTCTTAGCCTATTCACGGCGACAATGGAGGGCACTGGAACCCCCATGCTGAAAATAATGTGATAATTCCTTTCTTTGTCGATCACGTACATGCATGTTTACCGAACCTTTTCCCCGCTTTTTCTCCTGCACAGGGTCGCTGCACTAGGGAAAACTGCAAGTACTTGCACCCGCCCCCGCACCTCAAGACGCAGCTTGAGATCAACGGCCGAAACACCCTCGCAACCCAGAAGATGCTTCAGAACCTCCAGAGCCAACAGCTCCAGCAGGTCGTCGGGATGACCAACCTTCAGCTCCAACAGTCGCCCAACTCGGCCACGCTGCTGGCTGGCGGACAGGGCCTCCCTGCTGGGCCAGGGGTGAGTACCAAACACCTCATCCCTCCCTCCTCCACCTCCTCCTCCGACGAAGAAACACAAATCCGGTCGTGCCTTGCTTGTTTTAGTTAATTGTGCTATCCCTTTATTAAATCGCAACTTGTTTCTTTGTTATCCGTATGTTCCTAGCTGTCCATTTTGTTCTCTTTAAAAGCAGTTCTTCCTAGCTTGAGACAAGAACCACAAACTTTGAATTTAGAACCGTTTTGTGATATGTTAATCTTGCCTGTGCACAGTGGATAAATTAAGGACTAAGCCCTGATTTGTGCTCAAAACCATTGAAAAAATTGGAGTGATTCAATGTATTTGAAGCATGCTTATTTCGGTGTCACTATTGAACTGTTGTCTATAAATGCAAATCTCGAAAACGTTAAAGAATTTGTCAGAATGTGTTTTGCACTTTTGGCACAAAAAGAGTTTTTTTGTTACTCTCATGGATTAGAAATGATAAACATTTCTATTTTGAAAGTTCTTTATTTGCTGGAAAATGTTGTGTAGTTGCACAATATCTATAACTCTGATTTTTTACAAATCTTTCAATAAATGAACTCCCTTTAGAACAGGCAAAGATTTCATTGTGTTCGTGGACCGTGGTCGGAAATAAGCCATTCCCAATATAAAAAAAAACAAAACAATTAATCATACTAAAAACATGAATATTTGATAGGTTTGTGATACAAAAAAAAATCACTCAAATTGATTTGGTTGGTGATTTTTGAAAATGTATGAGCTAGATAGACCCATATTCTTTGATCAATATAAGAAGATATTGATATCCATTATTCAACAAATTTATGGCCTTTCAAAATTTCCTTTTAAAATTGCAATTACAAACACCAATATGTGGCACTGGATATGTGTAATCTCAAGTTGATATAGTTGCCTTGTCTTTTAGCTGACCACCCACTATCTATAACAATATTTTCATATGATGCATTTTCCATGCACTATGTTTATCTTGAGCAATACATGTATTGATGCATTGTCTAATGTGATATGCATTTTCCTCATTGCATCGTTCAATTTGATAGTATGCATGCTGCAATTGCAAGCACAAACGTGCATAAATCACCCCCAATTTCCCTAATTTTCTTGAAGTTTGCTGCAAAGTTAGAAAAGAAAATGCATTTTGAAAGTTATAAAGTGGTTGGAGCATATATTTTGCGAAAATATGTTTGCCCTTTCCTGCATTTTCCTTTCACACTAACCTTGATCCATTCGCCATTATCGTTGGGTATCGATGGAAGAGCGTACATACTCATGTAAGAATTATGCCCACGTATGAGCTATCACAAAAAACTACATTGCAGACAATGTCATATGAACAATTTGACTTCATGAAAGCGTACTTCACAAATCCAGAAGCTCATTAATACAAAGTATACAAGTATCTAGCACAATATAACATTAAATACACAGGGGAAAAGGCGAATTCTGCTTTAAAACTTCAAGTTTGTCACATGCCTTGAGTTCAATATCAACTGGTATATAGACATTTCATTACTGACCTTTACAACAATTCCACTCGTTGCTCTACAATTTTCCATTTCTTTGTCAACTCTACATTTTCTGTAGTTCTATAATTATTATCATTACTCTCACATCAGGATTATCATCATCATCATCATCATTATCATCATCATCATCACTATTGTTCTTCTTTTTATTGTCACCATCGTAATAATAATTACTCTCATCCTCATAATCATGATCATCATAATCATTATTGCCACCTCACGATGAATATCACCAGCATCATTATTATTATCATCATCATCGTCGTCATCATCATTACCACCATACATGTCATTGTATAGCTAAATATTTTAATCTGCATCGTCAGTCTTCCTCTCTTTAGTTCTTTTCTCCATCTCCCTGTTTCCCTAAAGATTATTGAATAAGCTGGGGGGGGGGGGCTGCAATATTATGGTAGAAATATGTAACAAAGAGAAACACATGTACTTGTGTTTGAATTCAAGGTACAAAACAATATTTCTCAACAAAAACAAATCTATGTCCAAATATTATAGCCAGATATATCTGAATTGAGATTCATAGGAATTCTTTAATTGAAGGAACCTTATTTGGAAGCCATGATCTTTATATATTTCATGCAATTTACATGATTGATCACATTCTTTCATATCAAAGGGCTAGACAAACAACTTGATGAAACAAACAATGATATAGGTGTGTTGTTTGGTAAGAGCCAGGAGGGCAATATCTTCTACTTTAACGGTGTTTAATAGCAAAGTTTTGGCTGTGAACAGATTATAAATTCTACCTTTGACCTTTATGATAGTTATCCTATTGTTCAGGGCAAAGCAATAGTTGAGGATTTGATCTTTGTATCATTCTCACATTTTAACATTTGCTTAGGAGATAAGACTTTGTTTGAGAACCGGGAGAACATTCTATTTGTCCAACCTTTCAGCCCGTCTTCAGAAAAAGTGTGGCGGGTATAATTGAGAAGTATTGCTCGGAGCATTGGCAGTTTGTTTGAGCTTCAATTTTATGGGATACATTGGGTAATAAACTAATATTTACCTGGAATGATGTATCTGAGTTGGGTGAACAAACATATGACTGGCTTTTTTTTTAATCTGTATCATCTCCCTTTCTTAACTGTAAATTCTCTCTGAATCTTTTTATCACTCATTTGATATATACATTTGCTTTCATTTGCATTGTCAATAATATCATAATCTGCCATTCAAAACACTCGTTCACTTCATTCTTCAATTGTCATCTTATTTTTTTTTAAATCAATTTAGTTTGACTATAGCAGAGAAACAAATATTCAGGGAAGCATCATGTTTATTTGAAAGATGTAGACTAAAAGATATGGAGGAGGAGGACAAAAATAAAAAGAATGTATTATAATTATTATCATTAGAACAAAAACAGACTATAGATGAAAAGGGTGTGCAAGAAAGAGAAGGAGACAGAGATGGAAGGAGAGATAAGGAAAGTAGATGAAGAAGAGAGAAAAGGAGAGGAAGAGAAAAAGAAGATGAGAGGAGGAGAGGAGCAGAGGGAGAGGAGAATGGCATAGTTCAATAAGAAGATGGATGGAGAGATAAGTAAAGAAAGAGGAGAGGGGAGGAAGATATTAGGAAGAGGAGAGGGAGAAGGAGAGGAAGAAGAGAGGAGAATAGCATACGTAAATGACAAAAAAGATACAGAATTAGAAGTGAAGAGATGGTATTATAATGGAAAAGAGAAGATTAGTGATACATACATAAGAAGGGGTGGGGGAGGAGTAGTAGTACGAGGAGTAATACTGAGCACTGACATACTCCGTGACATATCCATACCAATATTAAGAGTCACAGTAATAGGGCAAATAAAGTGGAACAATGTTTATTATTTTGTCACCAAATTTGTCATTAAAATATTTTTAAAAAGGAAAAAGTCGATTTTAGATCAGAATTGAGATCAAAAGAACTATTTTTCTAATCTTTCATTTGTTCTTAACTCCACTCTTAAAGATTTTTTTTCTGCCGCTGAAAATTGTGGAATATCCTGATTTTCATCAGCAAAAACCGAAGAAGCTGACAAATTACTCTATGGGTCGGGCTAACCGCAACTGTACGCGGGGCGGGCTTTAAGACAAGCTTTTATATGTCTCCCCTTAATGTAAAATTCATGACATTCTTAGAAATGGGGGCAATGCCGATACACCAGACAGATTTATGATGTGGCGGGTCGGAGAAATAAACGTAAAATATATTAGTTTGGAGGGTTAGGACACGTACTTGTGTTCCGTGTATTTGTAGATATTTGACAGGGCTCCCTCGTCATCCGCAGACAATGCAATCAAAGGGCTGTGCCAGGACCGGTAGTTAATGAAAGAAAATGTCAAGTTGAATAGCATTTTGGCTGCGGCCTGCTCAATTACCTTTTAAAGGTCTGAACGTCAGAGCAAAAGACAAAAAGGCAGACTGTAGATATCAACCAAGTTATTTCGAGGATATTGAAGAAAAAAGGGTTGTTTGTATGAAGGGACGCATCCGTGATCGTCAAAATCAAGGAGGTTTTAGTGCGATGTGGTAAGATAAATGCCTTTTCACACATTTATTACATTTATTACATGATCGGTTTTAATCTGCGCCTTACGGAAATGAAATTTTTAGGACTCTACTTGGTTTAATTGCACATGTATCATCAGAACATCTACTGTATACTAGATAATATGACTTCATATTTTCAAAAGTTATTATACAAAACATCATATACATATAACTTTTCTGTTACCTTGAGAAGCCTAGGGATATTTCTATAAAAGGAGAGAGATTCAATTACAACCTTAAAAGAATGTCAAACCAATTTGAAAAATCGCCTAAGGAATAATTGTCCGTACATTTTCTGTTTTAATCATGTTTGCTAGTGGAGAATAGCTCAATCGTTGATATCATATACAACAATCACATAAATGACAATAGGATGGATTGTTATTAGAATGTTATATCAATTTTCACCAGCATACATGGATGCATTTTGGTTGAAGAAGCTAACCCTGCATTTACCGTAGCATAATTTGTCATATAGCTATACGAATACGACTCTCGTTTTTAGATAAGTAATGGTATAACAAAACACATTTTCAAGCATTATTTTGACCAAAAACTTGATATGGAACCGTGATCTTGCTCTAGATTGAAAGTCATATTGTTCTAAAATCGTATAACTGGGCGGGGCTTTTTGTGAATACTCACTGATAATTGGCTAGCTGTCATGTCAACTTACCTCTTAAAAATTAATTTCTCTTCAAAATTAATTTCTCTTCACATCATTTCTTTATACAATATATTAGTCTGTACGTTGCCTTCACTACGCGATGATAAACGATTTTATACATCATTCCTTTATACACGTTTCGTATAGTTTGAACAGGCCATAGAGTACTGTTTGATGGCAGCGAAGGTTATGAGAATGTGAATGCCATCAGTAGATGGGCCTTTAATGTGATGGATGTAATATACCACTCTCTTTAAATTGGAATATTACTCGTCAAATACAAGGTCCGTATGAATAGAATGGTAAATGGAAATGGCTTTCTGGCGACCTTGATCATGATAATCCAGGAGGTATGAGTGTTTGGTTTGAACAGCTAGCAGTGGCAGATGACAAAGGCAATACAGATGTTTGGAAATATATATGTGGGGATTATTACTATGTTAGGAAATGCTGGGATATAGGGAGAGAGAGAGAGAGAGAGAGAGAGAGAGATAGAGAGAGGTGGGGATGGAGAGAGATGAAAGGGAGAAGGGAGGGATGGGGAGAGAGGAGAGAGAGAGAGAGAGAGGATTAGAAAAAAAAGGGATATGAGGGAGGGTGGGTACTTAGGAGCAAAAGGAAGAGAGAAAGATAGGGAGGAGGAGAGAGAGAGAGAGAGAGAGAAGGGGAGAAAGGGATAGAAAAGGACAAGAAGAAAGGAATAGAAGAAAAAGAAGAAGAGAGGGGTGAGGATATGAGGGAGGATGGGTACTTTGGAGGGAAAGGGAGAGAGAGAGAGAGAGAGAGAGAGAGAGAGAGAGAGAAGGGGAGAAAGGGATAGAAAAGGACAAGAAGAAAGGAATAGAAGAAAAAGAAGAAGAGGGGGTGAGGATATGAGGGAGGATGGGTACTTTGGAGGGAAAGGGAGAGAGAGAGAGAGAGAGAGAGAGAGAGAGAGAGAGAGCAAAGGGGGGGGGGGACAAGGGATAGAGAAAAGACAAGGGAATAGGAATAGAAGGAAAAGGGGAGAGGGGGGGGGGAGGGGGGTGAGGATATGAGCGAGGGTGGGTACTTTAGAGGGAAAGAAAGACAGAGAGGGAGACAGAGACAGATAGAAAGAGAAGGAGAGACCTGAAAGAAAGGGGAATGATGAGAGGAAAATAGAAGAGGAAAAACATATTTGGAGAGAGATATGGAAAAGGGGAAGAAAATGATAATATAAAGAGAAGGGTGTCACAAAGCAAATGAATGTTTAGTAGGTTAAATTGAAGTAGTCAGAAAAGGTAAAAGCAAAAGAGAGAGGAATACAGAATGATGGAGGAAGAGAGAAAGAGGGAGGATGATGAGGAGAGAGGGGTGAGAATGATAAAGGGTATTACAGTTAAGAGGACTTGAGAATTGCATGGGCTTCCATTATAAAATCTATTTTTATTTCCTCCTGAGTAGTGTCAACATCTCCTTTTCTTCCTGTGTACATACTACATATTACATCAATCATACTATGAACCAACATTCATTTGCACTCACACAAAAAAAGAAACACTGGGCGAACATAAACAATCAAACTTTATACTAATTTCAATCCTAAATCATGAATTGCAATCTTTCTTTACACCCAACCCAATCCAACTATTAAGAAAACACCCAAGGTGTGAATGAAAGAACCAACAACAAGAAAGAAGAAAAAAAACAAATAAATAAAAATGGTTCCCGCACCTGGCTGTATGGCTTTGTATAAGAAAAAAAGAAAAAAAGACATGCATCAACGACCAACAATGAGTGCTCATTTTAATACTTGTTCCCCTTTGTACCGAGAAACATTTTTAGGTGATTACGAGGACTGCCTCACCCCTCAATTGGTGTGTGCATTTAAGGATGTTCAAGATTTACCAGTGATCTCCACCTTTGCACTCTCGATAAAAATTAAACATTTTGTTGAATTGATATGGGCAACAAGTATGAGCAACATCAAAAGGAAAACCAAAAGGTTTTGATGCATTTGTACTCTGTAGAACTTGTACTCTAGTTTATTGAATCAAGAGCAAATATGGGGTGATATAAACTATGCTAACATCATAACTTTCAAGAGAAGTGCATTGGTTGATCGTAAATTCATGTTATTGTTGTTTATGTTCTCATAAAGTGCTGTTTAATGATAAAATGCCTCACCCATTTATCTCTCTCCCCAATTGCTTAATCTGCCATATTGCTATATATCACAAAAGTACAAATATATTCTTAAAGCATTTATATATTTTGTTGCTGTGTCAAAGTTTGAATGTATGGTACGGTATGGCAAACAAAACCAAACAAAAAAGTAAAATCACCACCTGTGTATATATATTTATATATATCTTGATATTGAATGCCGCCCCCTTTGTTGTTCCTCTTCCAACTTTCCGACTTTCTCCAGAGTAACCAGCTTGTGATCCCATCTTCCTCTCCATACACGGGAAAGGATACCACCACTGCTGTCTCTGCCGCTTCCATATACCACCAGCATGCGCCCCCTCAATATCAGTACAACGGCCTGCAAATTGTGCCCCAATCGCCATACAGCATACCTGCCAGCGGGCAGGTAAGAACAAATCAAAAATCAAAAAAGAAATTTTAGAAAAAAATGAGAAAGAGAGAGAGGAGAAGTGATTTGATTTGATTTTTGAACCATTTTTGTGGGTGTACGGGAAACCAATGCAGACCAGTGCATGTGTGTGCAGCTTCAGTTCTCATTAAACAAAGCGTCATTGCTGTTTATTTATTAAAAAGCTGGGATTTGTTAACACCGAATTGCATCTAGCTTTGCATGTCCTAGCCTTACACATTCGTAATGTGCATTTTGTTTAAATTCAAGGTGGCTGACGTTCGCAGAAAGGCTGCTCAGGCGAGAAGCAAAACCGTTTATGCAAATCCTAATGGGCTGTAAAGCAATGTCGCTTGACAATGAATATTTCGGCTGTTTAGAGCCGAAAGGTCATTAATGCCATACTAAAGTTTATGAGTTAATGCCCTTTCGGCTCTCAGCGGACGAATTGCACAAAGTTAATGAACTAAAACTGAAAGCACGCTCATTGACGAAGTTGCATTGGTTTTGGTGTACGCAGGTGAAAGGGAATTGATTACAATCTGTCCAGGTAATTAATTACACCTGACTTACCGGTACAATGAAATTATCAAATCTATTTTTGGCACGTGGTAAAGTTTATATTACAATGGAGAAAAATTATATTGTACATTCTATCTCCATAGCGTTTCTGGTAGTATTGGTGCAATTGCTATTGAGCTTAGTTCCAATCTGTAATAAATGAAGAAATGTCTTTTTTGTGTGTATATTTTTTGTATTCTGGACAGATTGTAAAAGATTTGGTCTCATGAGATATGTCATGTGACATTCATGTCATTTGTCTATCTTGTATTATTGTGATTTTTCACCCAAATTTAATCTTTATTTGCTTTCAGTTTGTATATGTGCTTTTTTTATTTTATTGTGCAGATGAATCTGTTGTGTATACATGTATAGCTTAGTCTGCATTGCATTTATCTATTCTGAAAGTTTTGCTATTTGAATGTATGTTACTGTATATGCCACAGCACTGAGTATGCCATTCATGTTGTATCTTGTTGTGCATTTTGCTAAATTTTATGCTATTTTGCTGTATTTCTTGCTGCTCCATTTTTTGCCACCTGTCTTTTAGCTAAAAACATTTTTTCCAGGTTTTTATTGAATAGATTGGAAATTGATATTAAAGGATGATATTGTTTTACTTTGAAAATTAATTTGTTATGCATTCAACACTTGTCAATTTAATATGGCATCATATTTCTCATTGAAGTCGAGATAATGAAAAGGAAGTGTTTTTTCCTTTTCTTCTTCAAATTCATGCAAAATGCCTGCTGGCATAGCTATTTATTGATGCGACTGAAGCCAAGTTTAGTTGGGGAATTTTGTGGGTTTTTTCCATCACTTTTGGCAAAAATGCAACAGTAATGTTGTCTTGCAAAATGTGTAAATTTTGCTAAATGCATAAAAGTAATGTAAAATATATTTATCTGTTGCATTACGCTGCAATATATGTTTAATGCGACTGTTTGCTTGCAATGTACTGCTTCTCTTTCTCTGCTCTGTATCATATACCTTGATATTTGCTTTCTCATTTGTTTCTTCATTGCACCCATATCTTTTTTAATCAGCAAATTGCATATTTCTCCTTTATTCATCATTAATCAAAGTGGAATACATTATGAATAATTAGCACCTAAGGGTCCCCTACTCGCATTCTCATCCTTAATACTTTTCATACTTAATACTTGTCATACTTATATGAAATAGATGTAGGTCAACTTATTTTGTAAGAGATTAATTTACTGGAATGGAAAACAACATCAATAGTCTGTCAAATTTCAGCAGCAGCATGCATAAGGACTTCTAACTTCACATTTTATTTGATGTGAAATATTTTTTCTTTGACTGGTAACCTAGCTATTTTGGAACATTGAGATGTGAATGTGAAACCTAATACATTACATATTAAGTAGTTCAAGTAGAATGACTGAATGACCATTAACCTTTTGAAGTAATGAATTATTAAGCCACTTTGTCAGAGCAATGACCTTTTAATAAATTTATCCTAAAACTCTTGAATTTGAGATTTACGATGTTCACTTCAAAATTCTCACTTCAAAATTCAAAAGCTTGACGTCTCACGTTTGTTGTACCTGACAGAATAGTGATACTTAACTTACTGGACAAAGAATGGCTATAACTTTTATCTTTGAATAGCTCTTTCAACTTTTGCTTTGTTAGAGATTGCTATAAAATATGCAGAAGAAAGGGGGAAACCAGCACATGTCAAAATCAACAATATCAGCAACTTATCATCAAATTTGGTGTTATTGTTGTTTGTTATGTTTAGATTCAATTCATATTGTTATACTCAAATAATGGTTGTCTTTAGAAATATATTTATTGATAAATCCACATTCTTTGAGGAAAGAAAGATTATTAGAGCTGTGAAAACTGACATATTATTGTAGATTTTTAAATGTTAGTCTTAAAGACTTCTTATCCTCTCATGATGAAATGTACTTACAGTTATTCATATTGACAGAGTAATTATTATGATTAATAATTCTTATTATCAATTATGTAAAATTGTAAAGCCATATCATTGTTCCCTCAATAAAAATTGATAAGTTTAAATTCTTCAAAAGTCTCAGGGATGTATTCAGGATCATGTATTTAACATAAACATCGACAAAAACTGAACTATAAGCAATTTAGCTACTTCATCATCATGAATTCACGACACAGTGTTAATGGTGCCTTTAAATATAATACAGCTGGTTTTGATAAGTTTTGATAGATGTAGAGGATCCCACTGGTAACCGTGACGATTGGAATAATTATTCATAGCCTTTAAATTATGATCATCACCACAACCATGCAGGAACACATTATAATTTGGATTGATTCAGTCCTTCCCTGCTATACATTATGTGTCATTCTTTTCCCAGAAATTTTCATTAGCCATCGCAAAAATCATAATTATGCTTCAGAATATCGCTGGAGAATCGAGATAGAAAATAATTGGAATGTGGATGTAACATATGACTAATGTTAAGGGACAGATCTATATCTATGTAAAAGATGTCTATTACCCAGCCCTACCTTAACCCGGATGAAAGAAGATATTTCATTATCAGTTCTTGAAATTTGATATTATAACAGACTATTTTCTTGGAATTAAGCATGTAACAGGAAACAATTCTTAATTATACATCAATCGCATCACTTATGTTCATGCATTACTTGCATCTCAGTTCTGTTCATACACCTCTATTATTATTATTATTATTATTATTATTATTATTATTTCCTTACAATTTTATATAATAAAATAAATAATTATTAAATTATGGTTTACTACCGGTATGTTTAGTTTACATTGTACAACATTCTGCTATTTGGCCAGTTGGCCGCAAATGAATTTTTTCAGTTAACCATTTCTACTGCAGTACTACAATCATCCGCAGTATGAATCAGGAACTATGTAGCTACAATCGTTTGAATCCCGGATTCATTAATATGCAAACAGGACACAAATGCTGTAATATTTAGCCAACAAAAAGCCACTTGTTTAGTTAGAATGTATATCAACATTACAGTTTTGGATTCTGAATTGGTTTAGAAAGCATTGATTCAAAGATGCTCCAAGTTTTAAAGCCAAACTGTACTATGTAAGGACTACCGCAAAATCCCCTCTATCTAGTGCCATCTCAGGTCAGCTGTAGCAGTATAGTCCTGTAACACGCTGCCTCCCTCGCTGCGCTGTTAATGGTTCTCGCATCGAGTCCTCCGTCTGCGAAGTGGAAAGTGGGTATTTAGTTGTGCACTGTTGGCAAGTTCATCTCTGCAATAAACAGGATGCTAGGGCCTTTTTCCTTGTAATACAAGTTTTTAAATTATATTTATGTTCCTACGTATAAATTGTATTGTTTGAACAGATGTCAAATATGTTGTCAAATTGAATGAAAGAAATTAAATGTTCATTTGAATTGAAACAATTGAATCAGTTCAGTATCTCTTTCATAACTGTATAGTTAGAAGGGATGAGGAAGGTTAATTTTTGTTCATTTTCAGATAATAAAATTATTGAATTTTGTAAGAAGAAGGCGAGACAAAAACTGTTGATGAAGTTAAGAAAGAAAAGTACCCCTCAATTAGTATTATAGTAATGTGCTATATGGCCTCCAGATGATTAAACAAGGACCATCATTTTCTATTTTTCTTTTAGAATCATCCGCAATTTGATCAGAAATTTAAATGTCGAAGTATAGTGTCCAGTTATCAGGCAGCGAGGCTGGCGAACGGAGAACCATAGAGCACTAGATTCCATCTCCTTGGGGCTTATTTTCTCTATTTCCTCCACTTAAAGAAACCAGACATATTTTCCCTCTCCTTTTCACAATTTTGTCCTTTCTTTTCGCCAATTCTGTCTACTTAAGATAATTTTTCCCTTTTCTTTCTCATGAGGGGATGTCCCGAGGCATTGAGCCTCAATTTTTGCAGCGGTTCTTGAAATTGAGTTAACTCTGGCAAGATGTCTGACTCTGCTGAATAATGGGGAGTAGGTTTAAATGGCACTGGAAGGTGGGAGGGGTATGATTACATTGGATGCATTCATAACAAGAACGCGATTTCTTATCACGACACGGAAATTAATAGGTTAGGACTGGTTATTTCTAAGTGATGGCATTAAATTATTTTTACATCAATTTCCTTATTTCCTTTCTACCTATAAAAATAGAATTGAGTTCTAATAATTACAGGTGTACAAATTTATATTTTACCCCATAATTATTTTGGTACTACCCAACCTCATTTAATTCAATTTTGAGTATTCTCAGCCAAATATAATGGTCCATAATCATTCAGCATCTTTTAAAAGATTACCGGTATTCTAAAAGAAATGATTTGTTATTCCTTAAAGCACTGAATGTAACCTTTTACTAGAAGAAGGTTTATGATAATCTTCTAGTTTTCATACAAAATACCTATCAAAATACCTATCAAAATATATAACAACTCTCAAGAAGAAGGAATGGATGAAAGGGATAATTTGAATACTATGTTATCAAAAATACACAGCAGAGAGATTTTACAGAATATGAATGAAATTATGAGTACACATAATTGTTGGACTTTTTATCTAGACCTTGACATCTGTACAAATGGGGTATTACAATTTGCTCTAAATGTTGCTCTAGTTCTGAAAGAAATATATTAACTACCTATAAAAAAAAAGTCCAGTATTCTTTTGGGTTGTATATCACGGACACATCTCCCTGATACATCTCCCCCTTCTCGCATTCTGCTCATCCAATTTTAATATCCTACTCAGTGTCATGTTACAATCTTAGCTCACTACCATCACAAATTCATGATGGTGATCGTCGCTAAATAAAACACCCCTTCCCGCTTTAACCTTCATCACTTATGCAGGACCTATCTCTACATACATTTTCCAGCCGTGAATCTCTGTTCGCATTCGTCCGTCGCGATCTGCTTCCCTGGTATCCTAGCACCACGTTTAAATATTCAGCGTTTTACGCTCCGGCATCGTGCCCTGAGTTGCGTCGTGACTAGAATTTTTAGCGCGGTAGCGAAATCTAGGCTCAAAAGGCATTGTTTATTGATTACTGATGTTGTGAAAGATTCATTAATTTTGTATAGGTATATGGATGTTCTCATTGCGCTTACTCCATTAGGCAGATGTAAAGACAAAATCAGTTTTATGTGATACCAATGGCCAATTGGCCATAGGCTTTTGTATTTAATATAGGAAACATTGAATGACTGTAATGATGATGGCATCATTTCCAACAGCAATATGGCATTCAACGTACTTCTGCTGACGTACTTCTTCCAATGTCCGATGATAGAAATGAAAAACTGACAAATGAAGTTGATAGGAACTGTTTTAGAATACCCATGCAATAAACAAGCAATTTGTAGGCTACAGAAGGGTTCGCAAGAAGGACATATTTTGTGTCGGATATCTAGAGTTCCTTTAATAAGCTGTCAACATAGGGAAACATGAAAAACATATCATTGGAACGTTAGTCTCAACATCGTACCCCATGCAAAGAATTGATCCATTCAATGTGTATAGGGGAGGAAGGCGGGAGGGTTGGGGGGGGGGGGGGGGGGGTTGTTAAGGACAATCTATAGCAACATCTTTGTAAACATAACCTTTGTGAACATCATAAATGTACCTGTAATTGAATAGATCTCATTAAGTATGTTCATATCTGTAGTTAAAATGCAATGAACCAAATCGTGTTACCGGTAATTGTGATAATCGTGATGATGGCTACAATTGTATAGTGATAAATATTATGTTGGTAAGCACTCAGCATATGATTATTATTACCCCACTCAATAGATCCATTTGCTGCACACATTGTATGCACCTTCTCTATTTGGAGATTATCACAGCTAGTCATCATTTTTTTCTTTTTGTGTCTCTGTTTCACGACTGCATCTTTTTTCATCTTCTTAATGCTTTGCTCACTAACGCTAATATTTTATTGATGCAAATGTATTCCAGCCTTATGTGCTTCTGTTGTCATCCCTTGCTAGAAATGCCGTATCCTAAGAAAAGAATTCTTGTGCTGCATTTTAACTGAGTTTCGTTTTGCAAATGAATTTGATCTGCACGGTTTCTTGAATGTGATGATTTAATTGGTAGAAATTAGAAATATGAAATCTAAAAATGTTCATTGCATCTGTCATGTTTATCCCTAAAATAATTCTTATGCCATACTTTGCTTTTGTCCTAAAATACTTTCACTCATAATTATTCGTCACTTAGCACAACAAAAAAAAAAATTATTTCTGGCCAGAACTATGATCACCGTCCGCACCATACATTGGTGTAGCAATTTTAGTAGTTTTTAATTGTCTCCAACATAATTCAAACACTGATCCTCAACCCAGCTTCTCCATAAAAAACCCTCCCTCCCAACCCCATTTTACATCTATGTCCTACCCCCACCTGTACCACCATCACCACCACACCCACCACCACCACACCCTAAGTCTACACCCCTATACCACACTCCTTCACCCCCCTCTGTAACCCCACTAGCTCCTAACTAACCCTTCTCATCTAAGTGTTCAAATAAGATTTTCATAGTATGCATCTTATATGGTTTACTTTTTGTCAACATGAATATACATTTGTCTCCTTCTATTACACTTCCTCTATCCACCTCCTCCCTCCACCTCCTCCCTTTCTTTCTTAACCACACTCTTAACCAAACAGTTATCACCCATCCATTCAAACACGCTTTTATTATACGCTTTATTTCATTTTGCCAACATGAATGTTATTTTGTCTCCACCCAGAGCCATCTATATACAGAGTTTGGCCAATTTGGTTTCACTGGGTCACAACATGGCGTATATTCTTTTGTTTTGTGCTTGCCCAACAAAGCAGTAGCCGCCATATTGTGTCCGACTCGAACCGGGTTGGCCAAACTCTTGTGTATAGATGGCTCTGTCTCCACCTACCTCACACCTCCCTCCTCCCCCCACCTCTTTAACCTTACCCCTCCTGAAACCCCCTCTTCCTTAACCCCCCTCCATAACCCCCCCCCCCCCTCCCCAAAAATCCCCCTCTCTTTAACCTCTCTCCTTTTCCTCAACCCCCTCCCCCTGTCTCCGAACCCCCCGCCCCCTCCTTAACCCCACTCCTAACCAACCCTGGATGCATTCAAACACACGCTTTTATTAGTATGCTTCTTATATGCTTTTTCGTTTGGTCAACATGAATGTCATTTTGTCTCCCCCTCACCTTCCAGGGTCAAGCCCAACAAGTCCATTCCGGCCAATCAGCTGCGGACATCAACGCTATGTACAGTCCTTATTTCTTGCCCGTTGCTGTGTCCATGGTGCGTACCATAAACAAAAACAAACAAAAAAATGAAGAAAAAAAATGAAATAAACAGTTTTTCAAATCTTTGCTAGTTTTTCTTTGCCAAATATGAAATATATCAGTTCCTAACTCGACTAATTTCAAAGCAAAATGAATGAATGTCAGACGTGAAAGTTTTATTATAGCGTTTAATTTCCAAAATTCATGGTATCTGTAAAAATCAGATAGATTATGACAAAATATAAAGTTTTCATTAAAAACTTGGTTGTTTGTGGCAAAATTATTTTAACTTGGAATTGAGTTATTATTTATTATAATTTGCAAAGAATATTCAAATTGAGCAACTTTTAATCCTGTACATTCATTTTGTTTACTAGCAAATCTTCTGCTTTCTGTTCTCCTATTTATACACAAAAAAGCAAAGATTATGGAATATAATTGGATTTTTTTTTCTCTGGCTTTTGGGGAGTAAAATGAGTTTTATTCTTCTTTTTCTCTACACTAACTTGAAATCATAATCTGATAGATGAAATAAATATTTGCATAAAAATTTGCATTGAACGCGTCACTTCCTTTGCCAAAGAAGGTTATTTATAGCCTTTCTTCTGGGAAGTGAAAGTATTGGTTTATATATTTACAAGCTGGTAATGGGCATTCATCTGTATCCTTCATTTATAATGTACGTGTTTAATATTTAAACATCAAGTACCACTATTATTTGAGCAGTTTCCTCAACCATCACACATTAAAAAAAAAAAAAAAACACACCTGTAGTCCCACTGCATCAATCTCTGCGTTGGAAACTTTTGAGTGTCTTTATCAAGTTGCATTGTGGGTATATGAATAAAAGCATTATAGGTTCTGCATGAATGTTTATTCTGGCCCTTGTTGCATGAAACTTTGCCAACCAGCCCTACACTCGGTTCTAGATCTTTTTGTTTAGTTTGTGTGAAGGTAATTATGCATGGTTTATTTAAAAGTGCTGGATTATAATTAGTATCATACCAGTCCATAGCCATGTTGGAGATCGATTGCACATGCAGTTATCTTTTAACAAACTCACCTCTTTTTTTTTAGCAGGATGGGGAATAAAAGGGCTTTGAACATGGACTACTTTTTGTAGGGCCATGCTACCCTTTCACTTCCCTCAGTTCCTTATCAAATTTATATGTTTATTCATTTATTTGTTTTATATTGATTAATTCACCTATGTCCGTTTATTTTTTATAGTAAAGGGTAGGTACACGCAATGGAACAGCTTAATAAAGGCACCCTGCAAAGTTGATTTTTTACAGTTATGTGTAATGTTATGTATGAGTTTATAATCTACAGTCAGAATAATTTTGAAATTTATAGTTTTTATTGCTATTAGTATGTGATTTTTGTTGTTCGATCATTTCATTTTTTCCCTTTAAACACATCAACAGCCACATGGCCTATGGTTTAAAGTCCTATCAGACGGACTGGCTTAAATTGAGAATTAATCTCTCACCAATGGGCACTTGCTCTCTTACTGGGTGTAGAACCATGGACCTTCCTATTCAAAGACCTCTGCTCTACAACCACTGAACCATATTTGAAATATGAACACTGCAAAGTCTTAATACATGTCTGAGGATGGATATCGCCCCGCTAATTAGACAACTCTCATGAATTATTGTTCACGTTTGTTTACATCTAATATTGTGCATATCCCCTCAATGATGCCTGCACTCTGCAGATGGGAGATATTCCAATTTGGTCTTTACTGATTGCTTCTTTGTTTGAAAATGGTGAAGAAAGATCTCTCCTTCTCGAGTAAGGATACATTTCCCCTTCAAAAGGGAGTGTCTCGTTTATTCTGGAGGTCAGCAAGCGGATTCTAGTTTTCATTTCTGTCATTCCAAACATACGTTTTATTATGTTAGGCTAGACGGTTTCCTAACTCTTTCCACAGAGAAACAGGATATAGAATTTACGGACCTGCCTACGATTGCATTTTGTGAGGATGGAGTATTCTAGAAAGGAACAATTTTATCTGGATTTGGACCAAGAACCATTCGTCAGTTGTTTAAGGCTGTATACTATTTGATCCTTAGTTTGCAGGAACAGAGATGATTTGTGAATTTGTTCAAATCATTGTATTAGAGAAGAAATTTTGAGAAGTTCATTGTTAAATTTTGATAGGCTAAATAATGATAACTAGTCAGCCCCAGTCATCTCTGCCCACATTGCTTTTATCATACCACAAGACCTGCTTAAAAATGACATCGTCCCAAATTACCTCTGGCGGTCTTATTAGAAATGGAGTTTGTTGTTAAAGATTTGTAAGGGGGTGGACAGGATGTTGGGAATACCCAAGTTATTTTTAAGATAAAGTTTATGATTTTGAAAAAAAGAATACAAGTGGGATAATTTCGCGGGGAGCTAGATTTCTCAGTTCTTGCAAGACCTCATTTATGATTTCGTCTCTGTTGTGAAATATTAGCATTAGCACAAATTATGCTGAAAATAATTGGCATAAGGCGCTAATTCCTTCAATAAAACAACTAAGGAGTGGGATTTTGATGGAAAGAATAAAATGGGATAACTTTTGCTGGTAGTCAGACTTTTCAGTTCTTGCTAGATCTGTCTGAGAGTAATGTTTTAATACTCATCATAGAATATTGACAATCGTTCATTGGGTTAGCATTGGAATGAGTTATGCAGATAAGGAAGGGCATAAGGCGCTGACTTCAAGAAAAAAACTTTGGAGTTCAGTTTTGAAAGAATGAATGAAATGAGAAAAAACTTTTGCTGGTAGCTACACTTCTCGGTTCTTGCTAGACCTGAGTTATGATTTAAACCTCTTCATAAAATATTGACAAACATTCTTGGGGTTAGCATTGGCACGAGTTATGTAGACAACGTACGGCATAAGGCGCTGACTTCAAGAAAAAAACTTTGTGGAGAATGTGCACACCTTGTATGCGGGTAAGCCTGAATCCGATGACCGGGGTAATAATATGTTCCGCGCCTAGAAACGTAGTATTAGGCGCATTATAAATGTGAGCTATTATTATTATTATTTATTGAAAGAAAGAATAAAATGGGATAACTTTTGCTGGGAGCTAGACTTCTCGGTTCTTGCTAGACCTGAGTTATGATTTAATCCTCGTCATAACATATTGACAAACATTCTCGGGGGTAAGCATCGCATGAGTTATGCAGACAATGTACAGCATAAGGCGCTCCCCGAGGGAAAACTACTAAGGGGTAGGATTCCGGGGATTCCTTGTAGAGTCCATTTCATGTTGGTTTCAGCTCATGCACCTGTACACAAGAACTCCCCCTCTGATCTAACCCCCTTCTCAACCCCCACTCCACATCAAAGAGGAGACCATACTCAAGTTTATGACATGATTATATGTTGAATGTTCATTCCATAAATGGCCTGTCTTTTGTCTGTCTCCAAGAGACCAAACGGTGATGAGGGGAGGATGCTAGGAGGGAAGATGATTTTTCATCCATCTCAAAACAGCTGGTAGTATCTCTCACTCTCACATCGGATGATGGTGAAGCCCCCCAACAAATATTTCCGCGAGTCTCGTAACGTGATATATCATCCCGCTGAACTCTCTTGGTGATGCCAGAGAATGTTTTATCCAAGAACAGAGTTGTAAATTGCTCTTGACGTTAATTGCGAGAAGAGGGAGGGGTAGGAGGCGTGGTATTTCTATGAGGATGTCTAGCTCTTGTGTTTTATACGCCTTTGAAGATGGTGTTTACAAAATTTATCGCTCATACTCCTAGCACCAGATGATGTATGAATAAGGTTTGGATTGAAATTTGTATTGGCATCTGTTGGAAACAATTCTGCTTCATACCTTCCCAATAGCTTTTCATTATTAAGACACCTTCGTCATTGGGTAGAGGTGTTGTCATGAAGTGGTGTAATTGCTTTACATGGGATGTTAAGGTCCTTGGTAGGATCCTGACATAGCACTAGTGTCCATGACCATTTCATTTTATCTGCATTGCTGCCCTCAACCCAGGGGTACCAAGTAGTGAACACAAATTTCAATGGTCATTATTTGAATGCATATAATTGGAGTATGGGTCAGGTAAGGGGGGTACTGCATGGCTTCCCAATAATTCAGAATTTACCCCCCCCCCCCACCCCTCAAATCATGAAAATGGATCACTGGCAATCGTGAGGATAGTATTTCATCTAGGCTTATAGTGGGTGTCGAAATGTAGGATTTTTTGCTCACAGGCTGCATGAGCTGTTTACATGCAGCATTGGTAGATCCTCCCTTCCTCATGGAACCCAAATTAATTCTTATCCCTTAAAATCAGCCCGTCTACTGTTGGGGCACTCTTGTCGCACCACATGGCATGACCTAGCTTTACATTGGTTTTCTGGTATATAATAGATGTAATGCAGCACAATGTAGACTTTATGGGGCTGATATGGCCAATTTTTATGAAGGTCTGAAGTGGCAAGTGCAATGGTTATTCTGCCCATTACGGCAGCCATGCAGCTACATCTAGCGTCCAGAGGGTGTTCACAATGCCATTTTCTTTTTCCTTTTGGTTGTGGGCTCAACCAAGGGGGATATTACAAATCTCTTTGGCCCAACATAGCCCCAAGTGAAAGTGTGACCACACAATATGCACATAGGGAGGTATGCTCTGGTGAAGACCGGAGTGAGAGATGCCAGTCCATGGTTGCTGAGGAGGGTATCGTGTCTGAGCTGAGTAATAGATCTATCGCTTTGCGTCTGTGTCAACATGTCCCAGACAGAGAGGGTGTCCTGTTTGGTCAAACAGGACATAGTTTGAGAATTAATCAGACTTGTCAGCTACATCCATCATGGCTGGATTCAGACTGGTCTGTGAATGTTCATGGCTGGTTGTATAGTTAGTCCATGTGTGGCTTCCATCAGCATTGTTATGTCTGAATTTTTGGTGTGGCATTTATAGCTCTTTGGCTGTCATTTGGTGGATTCGTCCAAACGATTGGAAGTGTCTAATGATTACATCTATAGCATGATCATCATCATCTTCATTATCATCACCAGCACCATCATCACCACTAACTTCAACTTATTTTATCATCATTTTCATTTTAATCATCATCATCATCATCATCGTCATTGTCATCGTCATCATCATCTTCATCATCATCATCACCATCACCACTATCTTCATCTTATATCATCATCATCATCATCATCATCATCATCATCATCATCATCATCGTCGTCGTCATCACAATGATTGAATCATCATGGAAACCGTAATCATCAACATTTTATTTTCACACAGAAAAACATCTGCACCATTCATTACATTATCGGCATCATCTTTGCCATCACCATGACCAAAACAACAACCACAACCATCACCACCACCAAGTTAAAAATCATGTGATGTTTTCTCCCAGTACCCATCCCAATGATTTGTATCAATGGTTCTTTCCTCCTCCTCGATTTGCTCCACACTCGGGATTCAGAAGTTGGACGACCCCAACTTGTTAATGACCTTTCAGCAATACATGCAGTGACAATGTTTTGAACAAGGTCTGTCTAGGGAGACCATTTCCTCGATCAATGTTTCTGAATGAAATGGCAACTGTTGGATGATGCAAGACAATAGAGTGAGAACCTCTCGTCTCCCATTGATGATGCGGTACCTATGGTAACCTAATCATTAGGTGATGATGAGGACAGCGTCTGTGATTTCTTCCTTTCGCGTTCGATAGTCTTCTCCCTTAAACATGTTGTTATCCCAGTGAGATACTGTAAGCGTTGCATTCATTGACTCTCGCAGTTATGTTTTGATTTAGAGTCTTTAGAGATCAGGTGTGCCTAGCCTCATTACTGTCAAAAGTAGATGAATTAATCCAGATGTTGCTTCTTTTCTTCCACATTGAGTTGAATAAAGAACTTGTATGTTTATTGTAAATTTTCTTGTGCAACATGAAATGAAAATTTATGCAGCTTCTCTCCTCAGCCTTAAAAAGCAGTTTTTATTTTGATTTCATTCAGGTCGTTGAAAATGGACATAATGTCATAATGAAATTAAAAATAATAATAATAATAGTGGGTTCTTATATAGCGCTCATGTCAGTCAAACTTGACACTCCTTAATGCGTTCCACAACCTATTAATGTTTCAGCAGCATGGGAATTAATCGTAGTAATACTTTCCATTTCTTTTAGTTAATTTGTAGCTATTTATTTAATCAATTCCCAATTTAAGTTATCCAGTTGATGTAATAGTTAGAGAAGGCATTGCATAGTAATTGCAAGTGCCTCTGTAATACAGTACAGGTGATTACAAAGCTTGATTTGGTACTAGTAAATACCTTACAGGGCTTTAAATATTAGTTTATCAATCAACCCTTCCAACAAAAAGCCACTTTTCATTTGGTCTCTTTTAAGAATAAAACCTTGTATTCATTTCATAACCTTGAATAGTCATTTTCTCTAAATTTATCCTCTGTAACACTATATGTTACCTGTGAGAGGGAGCTGCTATATAGACAACCTTACATCAAGTCTAGGCTACAGATATAGAGATGTGCCGCGTGAAAGACCTGAGATGAATTGACACGAGGTGGAAATGCAATTCCAGATTGAGAAAACAGACTCTCTCTCTTTTTCCATTCGGGAGCTGAAATGAGTCGAACAGATCCCACCAAATCAAAGCAGGGGAAAGCAAATTGGCCATGATTGTTTCGTCTGCAATTCCCCGAGGGCAGTCAGAGTCTCCCTATTTTTTCTTCATTTGTTCTTGCCTATTCATTCAATGCCCTTTGTACACACTTGTCGAGTCTGCATTGTAGACATCAGCGAAATTGTGCAATTGCGACTACTACGTCAGTGTGATGAGCGTTGGCCGGGCAGGGATAGATCAATCGGTTTGGCTGCACCTCAGCTCCGATGATAAGATGGACAAGGCTAGACGAAAGAGGGCGCTATTGTGTTTAGGGTACTTGTGTGGCTTTATACTGGTTAAACATGTAGATGTTGGAGGAGATGGATGTCTTTGCTTTTAATGATTGACAGACCTCTAACTTACTGGGAGAAAAAGAAAATTGTAACTTTTAACAAGGTTTTATTTAAATGTGCTTTTTCCTTTCATTTTTTGCTTTGGTTCTCTTACCTCCAAAATTGTGAAATCAATTTACTTCTAATATATTTGGGTTTGATAATCGTTTCATCTAATATTTTTTTCTTCCTTTCCCCAACTATCGCCCTGCCCGAGGTGCATATTTCTTTTCATATAATTATTGTTTTCTATTTTCTTGGTATTCTGTGATCAATATCTGTTGTTTTTATTGTTATCTTCCCCATTGTATTTTTATATTCCACCTATTCCTTTCTCATGATTTTTATTCTCCTTTTTCTCTCCAACCATCCTTTGTCTTTCATCTCTCTATTTTCCCATTATTTTCATTGAATGTCTTTACCCCCTCCCCAATCTACCACCATCCATCGACCACGCCCTATTACGCCCTACCCTCCACTCCTATCCACCATACCCCTTTCTACCACCCCTCCCTACCAACTCTTTCTTTCACCCTTTCTTCCATGCCTTTCTACCTCCAATTCCTACCATCCCTTACTACCACATCCGTCTCATCTCTGTATCTTTCATACCCCCTTTCTACCACACCCATCTACCCCGCCCTTTCCACCACACCCCTCTATCTCCTCTATCTATGACACCACAGGGGGGCGGACAGACGATGTCAGTTGGCGGAACCCATTCCTCATCCAACCCCTATGGCTCGTACTTCATGCCCTTCCCCAGCCCCAATATAGGACAACTCACACCCAGCCAGGCGGCCCAAATGGGGCTAGCACCGGAAATGATGGGGCTACAAACCCAGATGATCCCTACCGGTCACTCTGGACATGGGCTACCTATGATGTCATCGATGAAGAAGAACGACAAGTTGGAGGTATTTTACGCCACATTTCACTCATTCTAGATTAGGCATCACAAGATGACAAAATTTAGAAGAACAAAAATCATTCGGGGTTAAAGAGGGCAAATAATTATTAAAATAAAAGAATCAATTTATTTTTTTCCTTTACAATGTTCTCTTTGCCTGTCACACGTTGCATATTTTATGAAAGGTTTCCTGCAATCTTTAGCAGAAAGATTTCAAATTGATATGATAATAAAGAAATTCATTTTAGAAAGGCAACCAAGAGCAAATGCACCATACCACAATTTTTGCAAGTTATTCATATTAGACTCTTTATATACTTTGATATATGTTTAGCACCAAATCAGCAATCCATAACATATTTTATGCTTCTGATGGTGGCATTGTATATATTTTATTGCGAATTCTCCTTTAGAACGAAATAGATTTCTTAATCATTTCGACTGGCGTTAATTGCCAAAACTCAAATTATGACTGGTTTTCCTCAAAATTAGACATTGCAAAGAGAAATAATTTGAAACGGAAAAGTTTGTTGTTGTTATCATTCCCTCATTTGGATCCCATTCATGTTGTCCGTCAGTGATATTTGCATAAATGCATATTCATGATCGGGTGTACTGTGATGTGTTTTTAATTGTTTCATGGTTTTTAAAACTTCTCCCTTATTCGGTATTAAAAATCATAGTTTAAAAATGCTTTTCTTTAATAATTGCTGATGCTAACTCTTTTGTGAATATCCAATGTATTTATGGAATGATCTCTATGCTTGTATGATACACACAGTGAATGTTCAATCTGTTGTTGTTTTTATTCCTTATTTGAATCATTTACTTTCTCCTCTTACTTTTTAATCTATGATTTCTCTCATCTGGTATGAGTTTCAGCTTTATCCCTCTCGTTTTATTCACACTTTGTTTCTCTTTATGTAGAAGGTTATTTATTTTTCATCTTCATTATTCTTGAATCGCTGTCCTGTCCAATCTATTCATTTTTGACACAGCAGTTATGGCATGGGATCTAATGGGTTAACCGCTACATTATATCATTATATTTTCCATTGTTATGACACGAATAGGAGTGAGATCTTTGTTTTCATAGTTAATTTTAGCAGGCCTCTCTCTGAATTTCAACCATTAACCTCTCCAGTGATACAAGCTTTACAAACAATTATCAAAAAGGAATTTTCAAGAGTAAAATTTGACATGGGATGGCAGAGCTGCCAAGTCTCCCGGATCCTGCGGGAGACTCCCGGATTTTGACCCAATATCCCGTTTTCCCGACCCCATGCAAAAATCTCCCGGATTTCCAGATTTTAAGTTGTATTATTTTCACAAACGACTGTTTCACAAGACTAGCATGTTGAGTTCGTACGTACGTATACAAACAGGTCAACACATGGCAATTCTGTAATATGAATTTTCCTGTTATCCAGTCGTCGAATATAAATTTACCGTGATATCGTACTTTATTTAACAGCGTAATAAATGAGAGTTACGCCGAACGACTGGCGGGCTAGTCTAACAAACCATTGGGAACATGTGATAATGTGAGTGGTGTTTGTGTGATAGCAATTCGCCTGCTTGCTCTGCCGGGCGGCTTCCTCGCCGGCCCCCGTAGCGTCCCGGTACGTTGGTGCCGGTTTCCAATCGGTCGCGTCAGAGCAGCCAGAAGTTGCACTGATACAACAAGCAGACTTTGTCTGCTGCGATCGGCCCAAAAAACTGCACATTTGAACATCAGTTTTTGGATTGATTTGGGGACTTTTGCGATGTGATTTTTAAGTGGATTATCATTTGATACCAACATGGCAGTGTTACTGCAGAGTGGATTTTGAAGCCGACTTTTTTTTTCTGATCTCCTTTGCCGTTGGGAACGCATCGATATAACTTGCATCTTCCGAAGGCGTAAGTCAACTTTGTCCAAAACAAGGCTGTATTTTGTTTGACTATTAAAATATCATCCAGGACAATGTCGAAGTCGAAATATTATCAGAAATATAAAGATGACTACCACTTGGAATGGCCTTGTGTTGGGAAATCTACGAAAGGCGAATACTACGCATTTTGTACAGTTTGCGGCGCAGATATCTCCATCAAGAGTGGGGGAAGAAATGATGTATTTCGCCACATCACATCTGACAAACACAAGCAAACCGCGAAATCAAGGGGCAATACAAAAGGAATACAGAGCTTTTTCAGGTTAGTATGAACAGTTCTTAGATTTGTAAAATCGAGAAATAGTCTACCCCTCCATACCATAGACCTGCGTTCATTTCGTCAGTAGTTGGGGACCTCATTAATCTCCCTAAAAATTTGACTTACTCATAAACACGTGTGCGGGACTTGAAGGGTGGATTTTCTCACGATTTTATGTTTTTATTTGAAATACTAATCTGCACGTTGACTGTTTTATGCCAGTATCATGAACTTTAATAGTTTGTTAGGTTACACACATTGCAAGACAATAGCATCATTTTTATGAATTGCTTCGATCCTTAGTTTTGAAAATTCGAATTTGACCGTTAAATCGTATTTAGCGCCCTCTCTCGGTGACAATGATGTTTTGTTAATTATCTGGCATATGCAAGGTTATTTAAAAGATTTGACCACAGAATGATAAAAAAGATAAATTCTGAAATTTTCATCCAATTCTGTGCATGGGAAGGTGTTCTTTATCAAGGAAGAAGATTTTGGTTAATTATCGGGGATAACGATAATGAATATTTTGAGCACATTTTAGGTAATAGCTTTACTAATACTCATTTATTTACAGTGATTGTTGAATGTTCTGATGTCAAGAAAGTGCAGTATGGTAAGAGAGATTGCCAGAAGTCAGATAAAGATCTAATGATTGGAAAAGATGCCAAGGAATACCTGGAGAGTACAACAAGCCCAGAAGATGATTCTCCCCTTCGTCTTACAGATGTTGATTTGACATACTTCTACTTGTCGGTGAGGAAGTATTATGAATCAGCATGTGACTATGCCTTGAAAACCTGGCCACTAGATGTCAAGTTCCTTAAGGAGGCTGAAGTGATTGATGTCAGTTCCAGAAGAGATGTGTCATTTTCATCTGTGCAATACTTTGTTGAAAAGTACCCTTGCATTTTGAACAGACAATCAGAGAATGGAGACCTGGACAAGCTTGAGCTGGAATTTGCACAATACCAGGTTGAAGACTTTTCAGGGGAACCAGAGATCCTGAACAAAAACTTGAGAATAGACAAGAAATGGTCTGCAATTTCAAAGATGGAGGATGGCAATGGCTCAAAGAAATACACACTTCTGAGCAAAGTGATGAAATCTTTGCTTGTGATACCACATTCCAATGCTTCATGTGAAAGAGTTTTTAGCATTGTTAGGAAGAACAAAACTGATTTCAGGGGATCAATGAATTTGAAAACACTTCAAGCACTCCTAACAGAGAAAATTGCCAACACAGATGTCCCATGCTACCAAAGGGAGTATAGCAAGGACCTCCTTAGCAAACTCAAGCAAGCAACCTACCAGTCACTTCAAGGAAAACCCTCAAGCACACCCCAGTCCTTGCCTTCCACAAGTACATCCCCCATTTCACAATAGAGGTAACAGGAGTTCATAGTCTGAAATATGATGTGAAGTTCATATGTTATCAATTGTATGCAAATAAAATGTGCCATATCAAAGCCTTCCATTTTGAGAAATCATTGAAAAAATGTGTTCTAAAAGGGTTTCAAAGAGGCTTAAAACCAAGAGCTTTTGGGGGGCCTGCCCCCTGCCCCCCCCCCCCCCACCAGGGGCACTAAAAGGCCATTCTTGGTTCCCGCCAACATGAAGTCGTTCGATGCTGCTCTCTCAGAAATCTCCCTGATTACCCAAATCAAATGTTGGCAGCTCTGGGATGGTTAATCTCTGTCTCATTGTTAGAATTGGCTGTGAAAAATATCTTCCCAATCAAGTACCTATACAATATGTTCAGGTTCCTGCTTGAAGAAGAATATCAAACATTCATGATAAAACATTTATATCCTTTTTTGGAGGTTTTTCATCCATGAAACGGAAAGGGTTAATGAGAGATGTTTTCTTGATGTAATTCTTGAGAACAATCTATATTTATCCTTCTCTCTCAAATTTATAGAAGACTGACTTGCTTTATGATATTGTTTAATGTTGGCACAATCCATAGATGATTTCTTAATCTACTCAGTGATAGGAATTGGTTTGTCTTTTCATCGTTATATTGATTTGTTCTTGCAGGGTACCATATGCATTAATATCACTCCAGGCAATGCCTGCCAAAATGTCATCCTTCATATTAAAATGCAATTGAGTATGTACATGGAGGAGGAAATCGATCGAAATTTCAACAACAAGATATCAAATAGTCTTTCAGATTTGTCTTTGTAAACACGTGGCAATCTTAAAATACACTCAGCTAAAGTCCTGTCAGAAATTTGAGATGAAACATGAGAAGTTTAATCCATAATTCATATCTAGTGTAATCAAGCATTGCATGTTTTATGAGATGTAGGAGCTCGTAGAAGTGAAGCTTTAGTAAATTGGTTGCTATGATGTAGTGGTCTCTTAATTAATGTGACCAACTGGACAACAATCCTAAATCATGTACAAGGAAGAGCATTAATTAACAGGATACAGAGGGAGAGAGAGAAAGAGAGAAAGAGAGAGAGAGAGATAATTAGAGAGAGAAGTGGAGGAGAGAGAGTTGAAAGATAGGGGGAGATAGTGTGTTTTAATCCATCCCACTGGAAGACAAATTAAAAAGAATATAAAATGGTTAAATAGGAAGGAATTGATAATAAATTATAAATAGCAGACACATTTTTAAAAGTAAGATTTAGGGTTAAGTAATGCTTTTGCAGGAGTCTTGCAGGAGTCTTGTGTAGATGGGAGAATTGGAGGATAGAAACAAATTTACATAAAGATATTACAGTATCTTAACAGAAGATAAATGAAAAAAGGTATCAAATATCCTGAGATATATAATCCCACCATGCAGGTTCTTGCTCTAATTGTTCGAAGTGTGGAGTGGCGAGACTGAAGAAAAGAAAGAGAGGGACTACTTCAGATAGGTGGAACTTGGTTTCCATGACGATGATGCACTCCGGTCCCTCAAGAGCCACTGTACTTTCATCCATTATCTTTAATTGTCTGTGAAGAGAGAGAGAGAGGGAGAGAGGGACAGCTAGCGTTCATAAGAGAACATTAATAATGGACAGCACTCGTTCCTGTTTTAAAACCCTGATGCGGACAGACCATCTAATATTAAACTAGACCATGTATTGAAAAGGGGGACGGGAAGCATAGTCCCTTGCATTTTGGAATAGTTGATCGACATGGCTGTCAGGGAGATGATGGAATTGGAAAGGGTAATCATTTCATGCTCATTTGCTGGTGACATTTGTATAGGCTCATGTTACATGTATCTATAATGGGGAAAAAGTATGTTGAGTACCGTAATCACTCATGGGTTTTCTCAAATCTCAGTTGCATATTACAGATATTTCCAATACGTAATACTTGATAGGAAATAGCTACAGACCAAATGCCCTATCTAGAATTTTGATTTTTGATGTCTAATCCGTATAATCCTTTTGTGAGGGATAAATGAAGATATATGTATATAGAAAGAGAGAGAGAGGGGGGAGGGGAGAGAGAAAGAGAGAGAAAGAGAGAGAGAGAGGATCAGAGAGATAGTAAGGCAAAAATTGTGATAAAACATTCATGAATAAGTTATACTCTATTTTAGAGATGTGTGGGGACTCCGCAAGATACCTGTCAATAAGGAGAAGTTAAAGCTCCTCCTAATCATAATTATTGAGGAAGTTATGGTTCCTCCTTCTTCCATACTTTCACTTTCCGCTCCAATATACCATCCTTACGGAACATAAAGAGTGTTTCAAACTTTCAACCTTGTTCTTACTTCATTTAAACCTTAAGTTGATACGTTTCTCTTGAATTGTGTGGACATGCATTACTGTCTCACACATCTTGACAGACTCCAGACATGATCACTATGTACAGACTGTTTGCAGATCCAACCCACTTCAATTATAAATTTAGGTGAACACTTTTTCTCTTGAAGGTGTGCAAACACACAATTCTCTCCAGTACACCTTGGTTTAAGGCCTGGATCACTGAATGAAACATATTATTTGCAAACATATTATTTGCACACTCTTCCTATTTTTAGTTATATTACAGGTTTAAACATTTTTTAGAATTTTGTGAACACAATTCTGTCTGATACACCTCCTTTGTCTGTTGTTGCATTCCCCCAATAATATTGAGAGGGTCTTTCTAAGCTTTTCTCACTCTTCACTTACATTGTTGTTACGTTCTTTCTCTTAGACTAGGACATCGTTTCACAAAATCGTCATAAGTGCAAGTTCACCGACATCACGTTGAAATGCGTGTTAAATTTAAAACACATTTAAAACACATTTAAAACATTCAATGGGATAGTGAACTTATGATGGTTACTTGAAACGCTGCCCTTATCTTTTGGCTACTGGATGCTGTCACCTAATAAAATATTTACCGGTATTGATCTTTGCAAAGTTTTCTCACTATTTTTAAATTATAGCTCAGATAGCAACCGTTTTTAAATCGTATTTGATCAAGAAAAAAACGTCATTTTTGATGGTTGATAGAGCTGAAATGTGTAGATGTGCTTTGATTACTGTGTGTTCGTGGTAGACAGTCATAGGGTATGAATTCGGCCCTGAGTGAAACAAGTGGTTTGATTATTACCCTTAGGAGCATCTTACTAATTTTAACTGATATGCTTCATCCCAAGTATAATCTCGACGTTTGGAATGATGTGAATACACTTTTCCTTTTAAAGTTAATATTCATCTTTACCTGTCAAACTTGCACCCCAAAATTAATTAGACATTGCTTTAGACTTTAGATATTATCAGTATTTTTCTTAATTTATGATTATTATTATTATTATTATTATTATGACTGACAGAGAACTGATAGGCCAGGAATACCACATTTTATAACGTTTACATATCCCACTGCTGCCACCAGAATATGATAAGAAATGTCTTTAATAAATTGAATTTGATAAAAGCTGTAATTTGGCATGTTATACTGATCCAATCATGTGAAATTAAGTGTAGCCCTGATGGACAAGGAATTATAGCTAGATGTAAAATCGACTTATCCCACCAGTGCCATCAGAATCTGCCTACTCAATTTTAAAGGAAGTATACATAGTTGAAGCAGTACTTATCGGACTGTTAAATATTTTTCATATGTCTTTTAATTACCCTTGCACAAGTGCTCCCTGTTGTAGGTTTTAAAATATGTGAATATCTTAGTCTTTTGTAATTCTGTTGCAAGAACTACCAATTTTTCGTGAGGCATATTGTCATCTCATTTCTGGATTCATCATGCATTCTATATGGTAGCCTCGCATCATGGACAGACAGGACATTATAGTGTGGCCATTGAAGTTTCTGTGTACACGTATTGAGTTGATGTATCTTACCTCATCCACCCCCATCCTACACACCAACCAGTCAATGTCCGATTCCACCCACAAACCCAATATAACTTCCTCTTCAAACCACTCTAGTGTTTATTTGGTGACAGTGTCAGACCAAGTTGGTGCATGAACGCAACGAAGTTGTAAGTACCATTATCTGCAATTATCTCTTCTTTTGTATTCATGCTGATAGCCATCTGACAACATAATAGATGCATTAGAACATTTTAGGAAAGTTCAGCAAAAATTATTTAAAAAATAAAATAAAATGGCAGTTGTATATATCACTTGAAAGGCTTCTTTAATTTGAGCAAAAGCAGAAGCATTTTCTTGCAAAATAGCCGTATTATACCAAGGCTGGATTTATATTTTGCAGTTGACGTATCAAATGCTTTGAGCAAAGCTTTTTCACACCTGAAAGTGATATGTTTGTGATAATCATGCATGCACCTTTGTGTTGTCAAGTGGCTTAGAAAGCATTAGCGGGGGACCTAGGTAGGTTTGTATCTATAGTGGGATGGTTGCAGTGCACTCAAACAAGTACATACATGTGGACTTAGTAGAAAACAAAAGAAAGGCAAAGATTGGTAGTGAGAATGGAAGCCTCCTCGATCCTCCTTCCTCCCAAGCAATCCTGCTTTCAATCCCCTCGCATCCATCCAATCCATGGGAGGGGATTGAAGGAAAGCAAGAAACCGAGACACGTCCATTAATTCCCCCTCCCCAGGTGTGCAGGGAATACCAGCGGGGCAGCTGCTCTCGGGGTGAGACAGAGTGCAAATTCGCGCACCCCGACGAGCATATCACTGTAGACACCACCGACAACACAGTAACCGTCTGCATGGACCACGTCAAAGGGCGCTGCTCGCGTGAAAAATGCAAATATTTCCACCCACCGCTACACCTCCAGGCCAAAATCAAAGCCGCACAACAGCAAGGCAACAACATGGCCGCCGTGGTAAGTCTCCAATCCCTATTTTACAAAAGGCGGGCGCCCTCCCCTTTAATCAAAATATCATTTACCTTCCTTCCAACAAAATTTTTTTGAAAAATAAAGTTAGAGCTATTTTGTTTTTGGAAAAAAATATGATTTGATGCTACATGTATGTACATGCACTTGCAACCGTTCCTATAATTTATTCGTCTTTTTACTGCTCTTGTTTTAGTATTATTTTTTTCAAGCAGCCCGTCATCAAAAAATCCCTTATGTTTGTCCTTTTTTTGTTGTTCATGTTCTTACAGTTCTCTGTCTTCAACCCCCAAATAATCCTCTTCATATTTGTTACAAATGTATCAAAACTTCAATGGCTAGCATTTGTCTACTTGTTTGTGCATGATGGCAGGCTGTTACAACACACTAAAGAAACTAAAAGTAAAACAAAGACGTCATGTGATTAGTTGAATAAATCCATAGTCATGTGATCATCTCAACGCCAAATATGGAAACTAAAAAGGAATGCCTCGCTTCACTTATTTGTAGGTATTTGTTGGCTTGCATTTGTAAGATTAGTCTCAAATCTCTAGTCTCATTGCGCCTTTTCCCTAAACAAATAAGTTCACTCTAAAAAACAGGTTTAACTCACCCCTCTAGTAACAATGGTACAGTCGGACACTAGTGCCACTGTTGGCCTCCCCAATGCATGAAACTAGATTGGATCATTCCATTATTAAACTGACATCATTGAGGGGTTGCATGATCAATGGCTGCTTTACAGAGGAACTCACACGGAGCTGCATCCCGACTGTCAACAAATCTTCATAAATCATGGAAGTCTGACGTTGTCGAACTCTGTCGTTGCATGAAAATTGGAAAGCAATCCTGTTCGAAAAAATGTAAAATTAGGTTACAAAAATGACATTGAAATAAAGGTACCCAGCTTTTTTACTCCTGCATTTTGTCCATGACTTGAATTTCTACTCTGTGAATTGACATTCAAATAGAGCTACGAAAGAGAGATTGATGTAATTCTGTTGTTTGTAGGTGTGTGCTCTTAATTTTGATTGAATAGCATATATAGGACATAATGAGTTGTGTACATACCATCGCTCAAGTTCTTTGAGCGCTGTATATTTGATAGCAAAAAGAAAACTGAGATCAATAGGGCCCGTTCATATCACCTATAATAATAACTAAAACTCAAAAATCTGTCTCCTGAAAACATTGATACGGCCTTTGAGATGCCACTGACCAGAATCAAAGAAAAATCAGTGCTGAGTGATGTTTAGCTAATTGCAGAGTAACACTTGTATCCAATACCTTTTCCACATAAACTTTAGAAGGCTGGTGATTATTGATATCTATGAAATGTCCATTGTTTATGTATTACAGCTTTAGAAAAAACACATGATGACAATTTCAGCAAGCAAACAATTGCAGTAATTAAGCCAAGAACACCCAATTCCGAAGTTTTATATAGCTTTTTGGTCTAGTGATATTTATTAAGTGCTCAAGCATTTGACATTTTCTGAACATATTGATAGGAGTGTCTTGGAGATCTTTAACACTATCTGAAACTTGGAAAGTAAAAAATTGAGAGGTTATTTTCATATGCTTTTAGAAAAAAATAACCAATAGGTACATCATGGCTGCCTATCTAAGAACTATAGTAGCAATAATAAATAGATATATAAGGAAATTTTTTGAATAAATTTAGCCAAAATTAATTATGGTGTAGGCTGCACACTTCTTATTGAAATTGTGTTCTCTGTACGTGTCTGTACTTATTTGATGACTTAATAAGAAACAATAAGAAAAACACAGATGCAAGCTAGGCCTAATAGATTTTTTCCCCACAGTATGTGGTTTGTTGTATACTATAAGAAAGGTTTTGTGGAAAAACTAAACAAAGACTAGTGTAGTTTCATCATTAACATATATCCATTTATTTTCACTGTACTTTATTTAAACTATATTCTATATTTGCAGTGTGGTACATGTAGCATTTTATTCGACTCACAAAATGACAAGCATACAATTTATTTGTTCCTCATATTTTAATTTCATAGCAAATATTTATTCCTGATATATTACTTTTTGATAGTAGGTATTCTATTTGTAACTCTTATTAAAACAATATCTATCCATAATGCATAGACATATATTTTTCTGGATCATTTTATTTTCCTCCTGCCCTTTGACACAAATAGGAGAACATATTCTAACATCTTTGAAAAAAGTGGTTATTTAACATCTAGGCCTTAGCTGGCATCTGGGTACTACAGATCAACAACTAACATAATTGGGAGCAAAGAGTCAAATTACTGCAGAATTTCTTTCATTCTATATTTTTCATACTACGCATCGCTGCAAAGCAAGCAAAATCCTCTTCGCAATTTTGAGCTGGTTCGATAGGGTACTGTAATAGCTGTAATCTTTGTTTAATTAGTAACAGAGTTTGGGGCTAAATAAATATTTTGTTGGCTTTAATGAGCAGCGAAAGCACTTGTATGCTATTCTATTGCATTCAATAAAATGTATAAGATTGATGCTATTTTTCTGCAAGCTATTAATGAAATTCAAAAAACACAACATTGACCAGTTTTACAATATGTAGAATAACATCTAGGGATGAAGGCTGTAAATATTTTCTATATCCCATTGTTTGACAAGTCATACAGAAGAGCAAGTGATCAGCTTTTTGTTTATGGGAATGCCATATTATAGATTAGATAGTGATACACACAATTTTAATATTTTTATGCTAGATAGCTCTTTAAGGGTTGGACAAATTGGATTCTCAAAGAAAGGAAATGGCACCGCATTGTTCTTGTGTTGCCAAGACTAGGTCATACTCATAACTTAATTTTCCTGCTGAATATTTGAGATATGGCATTGTATCTTTCTGATATCATTTCTTGAGAGCCAGAATGGCCCTTCTTAATGCCCTTCTTAACGTCCTTCTGGCTCCAAACATACGTTATGTCTTGTGTGTGAGAGAGATGAGGAGAGAGGGCTGTCACTTGTGCACTTGGTATCACAAATATATGCATAACTTATACTCCAAATTCATTTAGCCAATTGCTTCTTGCATTCAAGTGAAGAATGGTAAATTATTAAGTAAGAGAGAGAGAGAGAGAGAGGGGGGAAGGAAAGATGGAAAGAGAGAAAGAGGGGGAGGGAGAGAGAGCGGGGAAGATAGAGGGAGAGAGAGAGGGGGGAAGATGAGGGGGAGGAGAGAGAAAGAGTGAGGAGGAAGGGAGGGGGAGGGAGGGGGAATGAGAAAGGGAGGGAGAAAAAGAGACAGAAAAGTATAAGGGAGGAGGGTGTATGGGGTTGGAGAAATGAAAATCAGTAGCAAAACAGGAAATAGTTGTAGCATAACAATAGGATCAGTTGAATTGGTGGAAGAAGGGAGGGGCTTGGGCATTATGAATTGAACATTTTTACTGCAGCAGTTAATCAAAGTTGTGACATTCGTGTGTAGTCAATGTGGTTTTAATTAGCTCATACCTATATTCTCATCTCATAAACAACACAACCATTGCATCGAATCTCATTTGTTATGGAGCACCCTGTAATGCATGGTCATGTATGACACATACACTCGATGGCCTACCTGTGGTTCAAACTTTTCCTCTTTTTTTTTTGAGTCACTCTGTTCCTCTCTCTCTCTCTCTCTCTCTCTCCCTCTTTCTTTCTCATGATCTGAACATGGTCTTGTTTCTGTTCTTTACTGACTTCCTTATCTTCGTCTTGGCAAAGTTCTTGACATTTTGAATATCCTCTGTGTCAACACCCGACTCTCCTTCTTCTTTTCTTCTTTTATACTTGATCTATCCATCTCTTATCTTCTCTCTTCTCACCTCCTTTCTGTTCTTCTATCTATCTAGCCATCATCCTTGACATTTAGATCTGTAGGTATGAGTGCCAAGGCGGCAGTGAATGAAGCGCACAGCTTTGTAGTGTGCGCAACCAACTCCCCCCTCACAGAATGATTATTTCCATTCCTTCTTTAGCTAGCCGTCTGGAGTCATCTCTCTCTCTGACAAAAAGATAAAAAGAAAGAAAAAAAAATTGAGGAGGAAATGTATTTCTTGCATGAGACGACATTTTTTACTGATTTCCACCCTTCTTGCTTCTTTTGTTTTTTTCCACCCACAATGCAATGCTGCTGTGCTTGCTGTTTATGTTATTGACTGCCTGTACCCATGGCCATTGCTACACACTCTCCCATTGGCCCAAAACCATCATGTGCTGCGCATACTAATAAGCTTCCGACCACGCCCGATACACCAAGCCTGAAGCGTCATCGGGACCCCTCTGACGACGCATTACTGGTACCTTCTTTTTCACTACTGTGTTTGTTTGTTTGCTTATGCATTTTACAAACAATTTTGAAGGCATGGCCCAATTGTTTTCTGTCATTTAGTCAATTTTTGGATCACCTAAAGAAACGTTCCGGCGAGAGAAATCAATCCAAAAATGGACTGAATATCCTGCCTGTATGTGTTCAATCTCTTTTTATTAGTTCAGTATATCATTATCTAGCATGGTCGTCCTATACCACACGGTGATTGGTGCGTTATATGATTTTTTTTTTCTTCCATCTGACATATTGCACGCTTCAAACAAAACAGTTTGCCTGGGAAATGTTTTTCCTCAAATCTTCACGCTTTTTTTTTTTTAGAGATTCCAAAATCGTCTAAAAATTGGGAATGCTGCTTAAATCAAGATTGAAATAAAAGAAACATATCATGCTGCGTGATTGGAGCGTTAGAAAGGGGCAAGAAAAAAAATCACTTTCAAAGAAAGGCAAGATTTTCACTCATCTTGCTTCGTACATGAAAATGAAGAAAACAATTGGACTGAACTTATTCTTCGTAAATGTTATAGATAAAAATGCATGCCATCAGATTTAAATGCATTCTCCTGTATTCAAGTCATTTTTAGAAAAAAAAGTTATCGATTCTTTGTATTGAGAACATTAGTTCAGGGCATACATGTAACTGAAATAATTGTAGAATGCAGTAGACTTGCCTAGATTTAAACATAAGAACGTGAACCATGTATTTTTAATCATTTCAAATCCTTCATCAGCTTAGTATGAGTACAGTCATAGTCTTTGTATGTTTGTTATTTATGATCGCTAACTCTCTTAATTGCCTTATTCACGCAATATATTGCTTTTATTTGTTTTATTCCCAAGTATTTGCATGGTAGAAATCTGCTTTTATGATAAAATCATACCCACCTGTGATACCAAGATTTTTTTTCTTGCTGGAATAGATGATTTTAAAAATCTTTGCAGCACGATGACAGAAATCTGTTTTCTTTACATATCATTTCCCTTGTTTATCTCGAGGAGGGGTAAATGGCAATTAAAAAGTAAGCAAAATGTCACAGCAAAATAATTCCTAAATCTATTATTGAACTAGGTGCACTAGTATTATCTTTATCTGCAATCTCTGAAATTATAAGCAACTAAATAATATTTAGCACTAGTGTGTTCATGATTCCGATTTAAACAGGATTTGTTAGGAGTTAGATCAAGGTTTTTAATTGATATGCTATGTAGATTTGCAATTCTCTTATTGTATTATCATATTTTTTCTTTCCCTTCCTTATCCTCTATCGTCCCTCCTCTGTGTTACCCTTCCCATATAATAATCCTTCCAATGTTTTACCCCCCCCCCCTTTTGTGTTATCCCTTACTCTGCTTTCATGATTTGATGATCATCCTTGACTTATTGCCCACCATCTTCCCACCAACACCACCTCATCTATCACATCCTTGACCACACCCTTGACCACACCCTTCCCTCCCCATGACCACTTCTTCCCCTCCTTTTCTTTATTATCTATCAAACTCACTTCATTATTCAATTCTTCATATTTCATACTTCTTGAACCACTCATGTCTCATTCCCCCTTTTCCTGAATAACTCACCTAATCCACCATCCATGACAATCTCCATACCCCTTTTCATCAATGTAAATACCACCTTGAAAACCACACCAAAATGTGAATGGCCACGCCCACCCTTTTTACCCCCCTTCCATTTGTTTTGGCACCTTGCCCCCCTGCCCCTGCCCCCTATTTCTCATTTGTTCTCCACCATCCAGCAGACTTTATCGGGGCTGGCTCCTCCTCCCCCAAAGAAGATCACGGCGGGAGGCCTGGGTCACCACCAAGGAGCGGGTCATATGATGAACTTCTTCTCGCCTTCCCAGTTCCCCTACCACCACCCTCAGCTGGGACCTGCCATGATGGCTTCTCATCAACACACACCAGTAGTGCCAACGCCGTGTAAGTAGCCATGTGGTCAGGCCACTCATGGTCTAGCAGGGTATGGGTTCAAATCTGCACTGTGCATGATTCATGTCCTCAGCTCAGCGCCTTTCAATCTTTTGAAGTTATTTTGTAAGAGCCAACGATGGTTGTATTTAGGAAATGATTCATTGTAGGATGAAACCATTAGGGAAACTAAAGGTTGTTTAAAATATTCAATGACTCTTCAGTAGCGGCCAAAAGAAGTAATGAAGTTTTGGATCTACAGCTAAAAATTTAAGAAATCCAACCCACTGCAGTACTAAAATTTCAAAGGCACTTTCCTATATTGCGTGTCATTGCATGTTTTCATGCTCTTCAAGCAACATTGAACATTGAATGAATATGGCTGATAAAACAGTTACATGGGAAAATGTTTTTGCTAGCATCTGCAAATTAAATGCTTTTATTGCCTAAAATCCTGCCCTAACGGTTGATAGGTGCTCCTTAGGAGGTTTAAAATAGTTTCCTAAATGCACATTTGTATGAGATATTAAAAATTGAAATGAAAGTAAAAAGGCAGTATTAAATTTTGTTGTTATGGCCATAAGATACACTTACTGAGCATGCTAAATGCAGTGTCATCTATGCCAGACAAAATCCGCCAAAAGAAGCTGCACAATGCCAAGCTTTCCTTGTCAGCTTGACTTGATATTGTCTTCGGTCATAGATCCTCTGTGCAATGACTCATGAATACCTTGCCTCAATTCAAGAAGACGATTCATGCCGACAGAAAAAAGTGCACCAGCCCAAAGATGAAATGTCTTTAGCTTCATAAGGCAGTGCTAACCGTATATGCAGGCACCTGAAACACATAAACTGAAGAAATGCCCATAGCCTTTCCAAATCAGAAATAAGAGAATGCAATATTGACATCGCACCAGTTCATGGGAGAAATAGAAAATTAAATCTTTTGCTGACTCTTTTGAATAAACCGAGATTGCATAATCTGCTAAAAGAATCCTATCCTTTAAAAGTCACCACAAATATGATGGATCTGTGCCTTTTCTCTGAAGAAAGTCTAGAATCAGAATATGAAAAAGGAAAAGGAATTCTAAATAAAATTAAACAATTTTAGACAATGTTTTCTTTTTCATTATTTGAAATTATTGGTGATGAATACACCTGATGGATGTTATTCAATTCAAAGTACATCTTTCTCTTGTAAGAACAAATGAATTTTGGTCTGAGAAGAAATTGTAACGCCTATTATAATCATCCATGTTGCCTTTGTCACAATTTTATATATATACATGGAGATTCTACAGAACAGACTCCTTTAAACATGCATACCCCGGTACATAATAGAAAGCAAATAAATGTTAAAACAATTGTTGCTGACTTTGTTGTTTCATATGTTTTCTTTAATTCCCGACCCTCCCCCTTTCTATTTCAATGATGGCCATTTGATTTTTTTCTCGTAAGATTTAAACTCTTTAAATGCCTCACATATCTTTGTTCTCATTCCAAACTATTCTTTATTGTAACTCAATCACATTACACTGTTAATTATGTACACGTATTACCACGTATATTTGAGGTACGTTTTGTATCCGTAACACGTGCTCTTGCTTTTTTTTTGCAAAATATGTGCACATTCAAATTTGCATATAATGAATTTGCATATAATAAAATGCATATGCTGCCAATTTGCAAAACATTCCAATGGGATCATTGTTTTTTTCTTCTGGGGAAAATTGCAAAATTCATAATGACTGGCTTTAAATTTTGAGTCATGTCCATAACCAAATTCAAACAATACTTGCTCAATGCACTGGAAAAAAAATATTCTAAAAATAATCGCACTGGAAAACGGCCAACACATCAACATTTTTTTCTACTCCTATATTCCATCCTTTTCATGGTTTATTTCCCAATCTCCTTTTCTGTTTTGGAACCTGTTGATTTCCTTCCCCTTTTCTGAATTTGATTTTTAATTTGTATACATTTTCTCTAATTTTTTCACTACAATTCTTCCCCTTTTCACTTTCCCTCCCATGTATCTTGGTCTGTTTTGCCCCGTTGTTCCCGACCCTCATAAAATCGCTGTGGTGAATGCTACAAAATGGCTGTCATGAACCAACCAATTCAACAAAAAAATCTCTGCTGCATTGTGTTTGCCCTCACAAAATTGTGGACTACTGGCTGTTGCTGCTGCTGCGATTGGCTGTCTTGTGAATGCTACCACCTCAAAACTGTTGCTGCAACTCCATCACCACTGCAACTATCTTGGGCGCTCCTGGTTATATCCCACTGCTGCCATCGTTATTGGTACCATCCCACCGCTACCACAACTATCTGATCAATCCCACCGCTGCCATCGTTATTGGTACCATCCCACCGCTACCACAACTATCTGATCAATCCCACCGCTGCCATCGTTATTGGTACCATCCCACCGCTACCACAACTATCTGATCAATCCCACCGCTGCCATCGTTATTGGTACCATCCCACCGCTACCACAACTATTTGATCAATCCCACCGCTGCCACCAATATTTGATCCATCTAACCACTGCTACTGCCATTGGTACTGCCTGCTCCTGCTCTGTGCCCCCCTGGCTGGTGATGTACAGTCCCGGTAATGCCTTCCATGGCCCAGCAAGGCCCCGGACAAAGTATCCCACTCTTCGCCCCCATGATGCCTACGCAAGTACATCCCACCAGACATCCAGTTGAGTATATGTTGCAGCAGTTGTAACTGTCATTATTCCTTCTCTATCCGTTTGCCCTTAATTTAGCAACAACAAATATCTTCCCCCATATTAAAGCGTATATATCTTTAAAAAATAAAAGATTAAAGAAACAGTTCCCTTGGTGTATAATGACCTACCTGTGAATTGCTCTAGAAACTCCATGACCCTCAGTTTATTCCAAAATTGGCTGTGGCTGCATCCAAAGGACTTTTATGTTTTATTATTATTTCTTTAAATTAACATGCAGAAAGCTTTCAAATGCAATGATTCATATGCTGATGCAATGAAAAATGTGTGTTAGAAAAATGATATCTAATAAATGGTAGTAAACTTGGAATACATGGGCCTCATCTGATTATTTAATCTTGTTTTGATTGATGATTTCATTGTTTTTTTTGTTTGTATAAAGGTTGGTGAAAAAAGTATGCTTCCAAATGCTTTGCAGATTATTATAGCCCAAACATTGCTATGAAATTCACTGCGTACTATTTTCAGATTTTTTTGTGAAGAAATGTTTTTATTAAGCCTTTGTATATATGAAAGAAAATTAAACACAGTTAGATTTCAAAAGCATTTTTATTTATTCATTCTTCTATCAAGGAGCCAATTGAATATTTTGATTGAAAAAGGCATTCTGTGCACCAAGGCACAATGTTTTATTCATGTGTGTTCTGTGGATGCAATTATTGAGCAGTCTTTTATTGAGGAGTAATATTCATAAACATTTTTAAAACAATGTTTTTCCTTTTCATTTTCATCTCTTTCATTCCTTTCCTATTTCTCTAAAACTGTTGCCATCATTCACTAAACTTTCCTTTCCTTTTCTTCTTTCTACTCTATCATGTTTGTGTCCCATCTCTTCCTATTTCACTCAACCTTACCATCCCTCCATCTGTCTCTTCTTCGGCCATCCTGAATTATTCGTTCCCTCTCTCCTTCCCTCCTTCCTTCCTTCTACCAAGCAGCAGTCTAACGAGACCATTCCAGTCTGTAGAGACTTCAAGTCCGGCAGCTGCAAGAGACCAAGTTGCAAGTATGCGCACGTCACCGAAGGTAGGTCATTCGATCAACCACTTCCAGTTCAGTTTCGTCATCATTTTACTAGTACCAGTGCATGATCGCATTGATTAACACACAGTCACACTAAAGGCAACATTTATCCCTCAGCTGACGGCAGCTTTACCTGATATAAAGCTAATGATATGTTTGTTATGCGATGGCAAAATGGTTATTTCAAATAATCTGGAGTATTCCCAGGTTAAGAGATTGTTTTGTTCGAACAGAGATTGTTTTGTTCGAACTGAACAATGATTATCTTTCTGCTACTAGAAAGGATGGGTGCGGTTTATTCAGAGAGCAAAATTCTCTTGGCAAACATTGAATAGGGATGTTCTTGGAGACTGTAGCATTTGGTTAGATCACCCAACACATTAAGGGAAGATATGATACTTTTATTCAGCAGATTAATCATAAGAATACAATGGAAGCTCTTTTTAACCTGTTACCTACTGGAACCAGGTGGTCCCTGTAACAATCCTACGAGAATGAAATAATTTGCTATCCAACGGGTTAAATCGTATTCTTTCACAGACGAAAAGTCTTTTTTTTTAAATTAATTAATTCCTGCATCGCATAATGATGATAATAATAGTCTTATTTGTATAGCGCGTAATACTACGTTTCTATTTAAGCGCTTAACATCTTATACGCCACAAGTTTTAACCCCAAACACATACCTGACAAGTATAATATTCCAACAATTGTTTTACATTTTACTGTTGATTTTCTCTTTTTATGTTTATTATTACTAAATCCTTCGCACCTGTTTCTTACACACAACCTTTTCTTGTATTTTGTTACTTTGTGTTTTTTTTGTTATGTTTATTTTAGCACTGTGTAGTGTCTCTTTTGTCTCTTTTCTTCACTCTCTATATGTACAAATCCTACAGTTTTCAATATGATAATACGAAGCCAAAAAACATGAATCAGAAACTTTCCAAATTCAGGATACATGACATCATAGCTTAAATGTCATACCCTGTTCAAAAGACTCGACTCTAATTTCAACATTTAATGGATATCAATTCCTATATAGTTTGTAACTTTTAGCTTTATAAACCAATCTAAATCTTCCTTGTGGAAATTTTCATAATCATGCCTTTCTCTAGTAGCCAACTATTTAAATAAAATGTAACTGTGTATAGAAATAATATAACTTACCAGAATACTCTCAAATCCATTTCATCTTTCCTCTTTTTAGCATGTGTTTTTATTTTTTCTGGTGTTTGTTTTTGTCCTTTGAAATTGGAGTAATGTAAGAAGTTCTATTATTTTTTAAATGATATGACGTGTCACTTTTCTTCTTTCCGGTTTCAGATTATCTTTCAAACAGTTGTCATTCTTGTCAAAAAATGACATCTCTGTTTTAATGTCTTTTGAGTTGATTTTGTTTAATCATTTCTGATTAATCTCTATGACTTGTTACTTCTCTCCCTTCCTACCCTTCCTATTTGCGTTTAAAAAAAAAAAATTCCATCTGGTCCCGATAGATTATGTTGAGATCATAGACGGCAAAGTCACCTTATGTCGCTACGCAGTTCAGAACAGATGCACGCGGCAACGGTGCAAATTCTACCATCCGCCGCCCGCATCGTCTGCGCTGGCCGCTATGGTTTCACCCGCAGTGCAGCTGTCCAGCCTCCCCCCACAGGGAATCTCCAGTATTTGACAGCAGAATCGCTCCAAAGATGTCACCAGCCAAAAAGATGTAGATCCTAGTAGTTCCTTGATGTCAGTGTTTTGACGATAAGGAGTGATTTTCTTGTAGTCCAAAGTTTGTTAGGAATTTGACGGGAGTGAATTCCGTCATGGGATGATGTTGTTACGATGAGTGCAAAGTATTTCATTCCAAAAAACTGTAATGTCGATGTTATTTTTTTTCTTTGAGAAGAAGTATAACGAATAAGAATTAGACTTAGATGCCGGGATGGCATATGATGTAAAGAGATAATGTATGAAAGATATAGGAAAGGGTTATATTGAATTGGAGACGAGTGTTACAAAGTTTTAGCCTTGTCAATGATTAGGAAAGCTGAGGTTTCTGGATGTATTTATCTTTGTCTTATTCTATATTTTTTGTTTGTTACCATGGAGAAGAATGGGTTTGAATTGAAAGTGATGCACTTTAAACAGCAGCTTCTGATTTTTTCATGTTACCAATGGAAAACAAGATTATGAAAAAATACATTTATAAGTGCAATTGTGACGATCAAGTGCCAACGTAGAATGGACACTGGAAAGAAGAGTGAGCAGAAACAAAAAAAGGACAAATCTGGCAGTGAAGAAAGATTTTTGTTAGATTTTAGCCATTCTAAGTGAGAAACTGAATTTGCCGTCCGTTCTGATTGTCATCTCGTTATTACCGTGCCAAATAAGGAGTGGTTACTTTGATTGTGCCACTCCACCAAACTCTTGAAAGCTGCATCGAGGAGACAAGCGGAACTGGGCAGAACGTGGATCACGTTGTCAGCAGAACACCTTCTGTATCATTTCATCACTTACATATCATATCCGAGTGATGATGATGTTTTAGTTCCATTGGTTATTTTGTTATTTTGAGGTCAAGGGACAAATTTTCAGTTGTTTCTCAGGCAACTGTTACAAGAACTTGAAGCCGTGCATTGGACATAGATTATGACAAAAGTATAGGACTCTGTGAAACCCACCTGTTGAAACCAACGTACGGAAACTGTTGAATAGACACTCAGTGCTGTTCCTGTTATCCTGAGCCGTGTTTCCACAGGACATCCATCATACAGTGAAGAATATATTCCAAAGGAATGAATGAATGAGCACAAATGCAGTCATTGAGATTGGAAGTTATTACAACCAAAGTTTCTCTCCATTTTATGTGGTGCTTTCACAAAAACAATCTGGCACCATCATCTGAAACAGAACTTACCAAGGTAACCAGGAGGGTCCGTACGTACCCTCTCTTAGATGAAACAGGCATTTCTTTGAAAAAAATGAAAACAAACCAAATGACGTCAGCGCTTCCAGAGACATCGAGAAAGAGAAGAGTTGGAGAGTTAGCTTACTCTAAGACAATCTCAACGTCACTTACAGGCTTGCAGATGGAAAACCGTTTGAGGGGAATAGTCCAACAGCGCCCCCATCTGTATTGTCTGGAAGTCATATACCACCTCTTTGGAACAACGAATTCATAGCCGTGAGATGTGTGAGGTTATCTTTTTGTTTTACAATGGAGTCCTTGAATGTGGTTGTTGTCTGATGAATCTTTCATACCTATCTTTAACGATAACAATGTGACGACCCGGTTGGTCTAAATTATTATATGTATGAAATGAATGAAACAAGGTATTATTCTTATTATCTACTTCTATTTCAGTGAGTCGTTCTCTTCTTGTAGATTGTAGATTGGGTTGGTGAAGAGGGAGACTTTAAACCCCACATGTGACGTTCAACAAATAACCTGAATAATGATGCAGCCAAATGGTGGTATTACGAGGAAGAAAGTTTTAAAGTGTGTGATAAAACATTTCATACTTTGTTCAAGACTACTTGAAGATGTCATTCAGAATTCTGTGTTGGTATTTATGCAAAGTATTTCAAGTATTTCAAGTATTTCAATGAATATTGATGTCAGTATTTTAAAAACTGTAGCGCTATCAAATTTGGCCTCAGCTGGTAGTGGCTCTAGAAGAAAAAAAAAAGTGCTGAAAGAATTGTTTTTAAAACTTTGCATATGCCAAGCAGCCCAATTTATAGCTTCTCTTCAAAACCTAAAAGCAAATGCAGTGTTTCTGCAAAATAAAATAAAGTGTGGCATCATATTTGTTGTTTTAGATGTAGATATATGAATTTCAGTAACTTGTGAAAGAGATTCAAGAAAGTTAGAGGATATCTTTTAAATCTTACGAACTATACAAAAGGCAATGTTCCTGTCACTTTCAAACTTGATGGACCAATTTCTGTTCAAAATTCAAGCGAATTGTTAAAATACAATTTTGTTACCGGTACATTCTGCTTTTGAAGCCAATTATTTTTGCCTGCAATCAGCATCATTGGAAACAGCAGTCGCGCAAGCAACCACAAGCATGCCTAGAATAATTTGGCGTCAAAATGACATTGATTTTCTTTGCTGTTTAAATGAATTTGAATTTTACATAAGATGCAAAAAAGTAATGGTGATAAGCTAGCTTTGCATGACTACAAGCTATTGCAGATGCTTATGTTGTCAATTCTGCACAAAATTATTGTTGAAAAAGTTTTTAAAAACTAAAAGTTTGCATTTTAGAGTTTTTTTTCAAAAATTTGCCACCCTCCGATTGTTGCCAATTTAGTTTTAAATGGTTGATATTCAACCAGATTCTCACCCTCTACGTAAATGGACTCTCTCTGTAAATGCTGTATCTTGGTCAAGAAAATGCTGCTCATATACCTTCTGTTTTAAAAGCCTTTATTTTAAACTCCTGAAATGTTCATGTCATCTGTACCCAGCAACTATGGTAAATGTTAATACCGATGAACCAACCTTTATCTGTTAAAACGTTATTCTGGAAATTACATTTGTAGATCATAAAGTTGATGGATAAACTTTTGTTTGATGGGTTGTTTTAACTGGGGAACTTATCCATGATAAAAAAGCAACAAAATCTTGCCAAAAATTACCCTTTTTTCAGTGAGTGAAAAACCACAAACACAATGACTTAGGTAGGACTGGGCATAAATGTCCATTGGCTATGGGCTTGATATCTTTTAGAAAGAATAATGATGAAAAAAAATTATGAAAAATTCAAAATTTCTCATAGCTTGCATTGGACAAAGCCATCTCTTTTAGAATGTTAATGAGAAGATTTCCATGGAATGATTTCTCCTAGTTAGTCAGGGAAGATGGCTTATGTTTAACATCGCCACATTTTTCAGAGCTAACCATACAAGATTTTTGATTGGATAGCCAAGGGGAGACATAGCGTGGGAAGAACATAAGTAAAGAGTTGGTTGATCATACCATCGCTGAGTAGATATAACTTAGATCTGAAATAGATTGGAAATATTCATCTGAAATATGAAAAGTATAATGTTTTTGTTAGTGAAAGTTTGTCTTTGAAGGTAAACTTACAGAACCTTTGTAAATGTAGTATCGTTTTACCCTGTATTTAATATGTTGTTTGTCATTGAATTTTGAAAGTAAGAATGTAAGAAGTTGGACACCAGAGACATTTTGTTTGTTTTAAAGGATATATGCCTTTTTTATATGAGTCCTCCATTGTATTATGACTGTGCCAAATATGGACATTTGTAAGAAAACCATGACTAGAATTCGCTGGAATTTGTTTGTAACAAGACCATGTGATCAGTATCTGGTAATATCTTTCCCAATTAAGCCTTAATTGTTCAAATGTAAATTAGAAAGGGCAATTGCATTGTCTCCCTCTAGGCTTTGACTGTGTATTGTTATATCAATGAAGTATTTTGTTAATGTAGAATGATTTTGGTTGTCGACCCCCATGTATCTTAAATTGCTGCTATGATAGATGCAAGCGGGAGTTCAAGCGGCAGTGTATTAACACCATGCATTCGTTTAGCTGTGAGGGAAAGAGATTTGTAATGTAATGATTAAGCTCTATATTGGATCCGTGGGACATCACTATTTGTATTTGCCAAATATATTCTTTTAGATTTTTCTTTCTCTTCCTTCACTGCAGCTGTTCTGACTTTGTTTTTGAATCAAGAAACATTTGTCATTCCTTTCGATTCATTTGTATTATTTTCTCTTGATTTAGAGCCATGACTATGTGCAGGTTGAGGAGTTGTTGTAACTTGTATTGTTTGTGTTGTGTACTTACTCAATGCTGTCATATTAACTCCCGTCTGTACGTGTGACTGTATTTTGTTGAGTTTTGCACTAACCAAACAAGCGATCTATTCCTAATCATTATTATATTCATAATAATCTAATCATAATGTCTTCAAATTTCATGTAATCTCTGAGGAGTACTGATACTATTTAAGTTTTACAGCTATGTATTCACAAAGGTTCCTTAACTTGGATATGTCCAAGAAATACCCTGCATCCGAAAATTACTGTAAAACAGATTACTACAGACAAACATCAGTAATTATTTGCACTGAAGTTCTACCATTACATAATGCATAACCTTTTCAATCATTTTTGTATGCATCAAGAAAATGTAAAGAATCTGTCTCAATCCTTGAAAAAAAATTCAGAAGATATTTATCTAGATTTCGTCCTTGTTCACCTGTTTTTATGGTACTTTTAAAGAAAAGTTTGGATATTCAAAGAAACAAACTGTGATTGTTCAAATACATCATTTGAGTTTGAACATGTGCACCGTGGTTTATTTCTGCATCAAAGTTTAAGAGAGCCTTTGTGTAATTTTATTTAGAAGACGAGTTCAATATTTATCTACCCGAGACACAAAATCACTAGAATATGTATGAATAATCATTTGATACCTTGATCTTTTTATCCACAATTCTTCAATTCACAGCACTGAAGCACGAGTATTCCTAGAAGAATTGAAAGATACATCCTGGCATGTCTTCTTCCTTTTCCCCGATAGTATTAGAATTGATATTTATTTCATTCATAATCTGCAAATGCTAAATTCTTGGGCATAGAACCAAAGAGAAAATGGCATGAGAATGATTCCTGGCTTGTTACCATTTGAAAACAGGTGGTCATCTTCTCTTCATCCTGGAACAACCAGAAAAATGTTTGTTCAATTTTTTTTCTCTTCCTGGTTCCACTCTATATCCCATCTGAAATCTTTAATATCATCCCTTGTGTTGGTAGTGAATATATCATTTCATTTTGCTTGATAGCTATGCAATCACAAGAGCTGATGAAAAACAAATTCATTGTCTTGCACCCATTCTGTACCATTTAGATGAGATTCCCTTTTTCCCCCTTCCTTTGAGGATACCATACCCGTGTCCATAACTGGCTTCATTGTTGAATAGATTGTGGTGATAATTAGCTGTTCGTTCCTCCATTTCTCACAGATTATGTAGAGCTAGTGGACGGGAAGGTCACGTTATGCCGTGATGCGGTACGGGGGAAATGCCTCCGGGCCACCTGCAAGTACTATCACGCTCCTGCTCATCCTCCTACTGCTACTACTACGCACGTTACCATGGCAACCTCTTCCTCTGCATCTTCTGCTTGCTCCTCCTCCTCCTCATCAGCAAACGCCTACATGGCTGGTAGCACGGCAGCCCCTCCTGGCCCCCTCTACATGGCCTCAAGCACGCTCTCTGGCACCAACAACAGCACAACCGCCGCCGCTGTTGCTACAACAAATGCTAGTGCTCCTGCTACCGCTGCTGCCGCTGCCGCCAATGTCTTGCCGCCACAACCACCACTTCAGCCGCAACCTCTCCCTTTCTCAGCGGCTTCGGCTGCTGCCTCCAACCCTTACCTCCACCACCACCACCACCTTCATCACCAACACCCCGCATCCACTGTCATGCCCATCGCTATAAGCAATGGCTACCCGGCACAAGTCTTGCCTTAAAATAAATAAAAACACAGATCAAAAAGAAACGTAGATGAAGTAGGCTCTGAAAAAGAGTGTATATAGCTGTTGAGAGCATGATCAAGAATAGACAATCACAATTCTTTTCATTTATTTACTTCTTCTCTGACGTTCTACACCTGACAATTTCGAATTCTGGAAACCAATTTCCTTGTTCTTTTTAACTATCCCCATCTCTATTTCAATTTTAAAAACCGTCTTTCTTTGTTTCCCCCAGACTCCTGTTTATGCCCATCTCTGTCTTAATCCCTTGACTACAATGTAGTTCATTATAACTACAGATGAGTTTGTTGAATTCAAGAGTATATCTTGTAATCAAAATTCGAAATGGATTTGGTGCCGTGTGAAAAACAACCAAGATATTTAATAGGCTTTCCCCTTCATTTATTTCATTTTTTTATTCAGATGAAAAGACTTTTGCCACAAAATAGAACACCATATAAAGAAATCCTCCCATGTTTAATTCAAATATAAAACTGCACTTTCTATATCCCTCTCAATTTTTTGAAAAATTAAAAAGATATAGAAACATTGATAATTTAGACTTGTAAACATCCCTCTTCTGCTTCTTTTTATGTTACAGAACTATCCTCTTTACACATCCCCAAACTACCTGTCACCCACTTTTCTTTCTACAGTCCCACCTGTTGTTTTCCATGCTATATGTTTTCTTTTGCCTGGCATTATGTTTATACATCTCATTTACACACCAATTTGCTCGTATATCATCATCATGGCTGCCCAGTGTGTAGAAGGCTTGTCATATTAAAGGGGCATGTAACCTCTTCAATGTGATGGTTTAAAGGCTGTATGTGTGCGCACCTTGGGGGTTGTATATGAAGTTGTAGCTTGCTTGTTCATTTATATGTTTGCATTCATCCACGTTTCGAAAAATTGAAAATGAAAAGCAAACGCACTCATGCTAGAGTATATAGATCCGTTATGCAATCAAATGTAGCATCCATATGTGATGATGTTCGTATATATACTCAAAATGGCTGGTTGAGAAATTGCTTTCATAAACGCTGAATCTAAGCTTTGAAATGAAAAACATGCATCCGTCTGTTTTCATGTAGAGATCCTTAGACCAATGAATGTCTGACCTTTAACCCTCCTTGTCTTATCATCGAGGGATGGCAGTTGGTGATGAAATGTGCATGTCAAATGTTCAAGCTTGCTCCTTTACCCAAGCTTCGTTGGAAGAAATATTGCTTAGAAATGTTAGTCGTAGGGGTACTGGTATAAGGAATGTAATAGATGCGGTTTTGTGTGGGCTGTTCAATAACTAAAAGCTTACTTTCAAATCTGTAAGCACTTGTTATGCAAAAGTAAACACTGCTGTGTTTGACTTGCATAGTTATAAACTCTCCCTCTACAAAATAAGAAAATACAGATTCTTAAATGGAGGTGTTTGATAAAGTTCTGCCAATGATTTAATTTGCCATGTTCTATAGTTGCCAAGTGAGTATAATCCTTGTAATTAAATTACATCTCATAATTTGATATTGAGTAATATCACTGCACTCCCTAAAAGGAGAATAAAATCACACACTAATCACTGAAATCTTTTCGTACAATTTTAAATCATGTTGTAAATAAATCAAGAAATTGTACATAATTGTGTATCGCTGATGTTTTCAGCCCTTTGAATCTTTTCTGTGAAGATCGATAATCACAGATTAACAGTTCTAGAAAGATACAACTCATTACTTGTTGTAAATATATAATAAACAAGAGATAATATTCTTGAAGAGACTTTCTGTTGTTGAAAAAAAAATCAGTGTTTAATCAATCATTACATACCTATTGTAATGGAATTAATATGTATGTTTTCGCTTGCACCTTACTTAACATGATGCACAGAAAAAAACTGCTATTTTTTATTCACTTTGTAATTTGTACTTAACATACACTAAAACTTCAAGGATCTTGCCAAAATAATCCAGTGAAAATTGTCAAAAATGTACCATACTTTTTTTTTAATGCTGAATGACCTGAAATAACGCACTTGCTGCACTAGAGCAATTTCTTTGCCTTATGGTATCCTAGATGAAACCAGTGAAAAAGAAAAAAAGTACATAGTGTCGCCCAATTGTTAAGACTTTGATCTTCCTTTTGCAAAGTATTTATAGCATATTGCTTAGAAAATCACTTTCTGTATAAAAGGTACAGTACTTAGATTAATTAAGATTAGAATTATTGGAGCTTTGTTGTTAGCTAAATTGCTGTGAATGTGCATGACAAACCATCAGAAAAAGGGCCTTATATCTAATCAAATTGTTTGAAAAACAAAAGCTTTGCTCAAAGCTAGCAGCTTACGCTTGAACGTATACACCAGTAGTTCTAATCTTGTTGAATGACTTTTGCTTTGCTTTGAAATAAAAAATGAAAGAGGATTTCAAACGAAAGAAGCTTTTCAATAAAAATAAAGCTTTTCATAACCATTTTCCTTCTTTTGCTTTTAGTTCCATTTTAATCCCACAACGGAGGCATTTCCCCATCTCCCAAAAGTAGACAAATTCTGTTTGCTCTCATTTTTTTTTCCATTTGAATTTTCTCTTCACAGTTCCCTAAATATTCCAGGAAGTCCTGATTTATCCCTCTATTTTTTTTCCAGGAAGAGAACAAACTTTGAATCACAATGTTGCATTTTCAAGTTTTGGTTTTTCATTTATTTATAGATGAAATTACATTTGCCCCCCTCATAATTCCTTTACCAACTGATTTGAAATGGAAGAAGATTGCCAGTCATGTAATGTCCTCATTTAAGGTTTAAGACAATCTTTAATTTTGATTGTCTGATGTTTGAATTCAATCATGAAGGTAATTGACTGATGTAGGGTCTAAGTGCATCTTATATTTAAGTTATCATGACTTAAAGTGAAGGGATGGAGAGTATACATTATACATATGAAGTCTCTGTAAGCGTATTATTTTCTGGTTGAATTTTTTTGGCCTTCAATGAGTAGTCCCGGAAAGGTCCTCACCAATAAGTGATCCAGTGAAGATCCTTTTTATTGCTTTTAAATGAGTAAAAAAAGATGTTCATACATAATTGATATGTATGTCATTTTCGTGCACTGTTCTACGCAAAGATTTTTCACGGAAACAATATTGCTCTAGTCTCAAGTCGCAGAGCGGAATGTATTCATAGATTCATGTGCCTATTGTTAAATTGGGCACGATGGTTGATGCATGGAAATGTTAGGGTAGGATATGAGAGGTCTGTATGGCAATAGAGAGGTTATATTAGCATATTATGTAGCTTTGGGAGTCTAGTACGCAATGCTTGTACAATGTATGTATATCAGAAACAACTCATACCAAAGTACTCAGAATTTCAAAGTGATGATGAAAAAGAAAAAAAAAGTTTGACGAAAAAAAAATAGGAAAAACCCATAAAAAATGTCAAAAAATGTTCAAACTGAAATTATCAGTGTCTGAAATGTTAGTTGTTTAATGGATGTTTTGTCCAAATGATAGATTTGTGATTCTATATTTTAAGTACTGTTTATAAGAAAACATGGTTGACTTTTTTATATTCTTTTAGTGATACAACAAAATTTGAGTGATTTTTAAGATGATTTTGTTGTCGTTGAAGTTGTGTTTTCTCAGATTTTTTTCGTTTCTCCAAACATATTGTACATTTTGTGAGATTGAGTATGCTCTTTTTAGTTTCCTTTTCTTTTTGGTAATCCATCATTTCCCGTTTTTATTGGAAATGTAAAAGTATGTTTGATTTTTGTGTGTGTAAGTTTTCATTTTGACATTTCCCCTTGTGTGTATAGAAAAGAATGATTTTTTTTTTCCTATATGAAATTTAAATATAGCTCATACATTTTAATTTTTTTGTTCAATTCTGACATGTGTATGTGTACATTTAATAGGTATTGTAGGTGAAAGGCCTGTAGGGTTTCACGTTAATATAGCGTCTTGGGGTAGCAGGGAAGATGATAAACCATGATCCATATTTGCACTATTTAGAAAGAATTGTAAGGGAAAGAATAGGGAGCGAGATAAGGAGACATTGAAGATGATGTATTTGATACATGAAGTTTACATCTTTTGTTGTATAATCCTGTCTTTTTTAAGATGTTGAACATTTAAAGGACTTCTCCCAATCATGGCATGTAATTTTCTTTGAAAAGAAAAAGAAGAAGAGAGAAAATTGAATTACCCATAATGCAGTGTTTTTGTACGTTGCGTGGGGGATGCAATGCAATGGAATTAAATGGACCGAGATTATAATGTTATTGTCTTCTTCTCCCCAAGATGGCTGTCTTATATGTATATTAGTGGAGATGGTGCACACTGGACCCCATTTATCACCTTGTTTACAGAGGAAGTGACCCCTGACACGAGGTCAAAGGTTGAGGAGGGTCAAACCTTGTGAAAAGCACTAGTCTTTATTTTTTTCTTTCCATTCTGTAGAGAGAGAACACAGACTCTTATAATCCTGTGACGTAGTCTATTGAATGGTAAATCTATTGTATGATATAATAAGAAACATTGTTACATGTATCACGATGGTAGTTATTCTTATCGTAAGTTGTATCTTTTAAAGAAGTTTTATGAATACTAGATATGAAAGTCATTTTAAATGTGTGATGTTTACATTGTATATGAAATTTGAGAAAAGTTTTTGATTCATTATTATGTTCAAGTCTCAGAGAGACTCAAATCAAATGTGAATACATGAGGAAAATACTATTCCACTAAAGAACCAAATTTTAGCGATGTTTTAGGAAAGTAGGAGTATCAAAGAGTCTGATCGATCCCCTCCCCAACTGTGTCCCAAGATGACTGGAAGCGAAGTCGGATGATAGCCGGCTTGGGAGACAGTGGGGGAGAGGAATGGACATTTTCCATTTTCAAGACTAACTTTCTTGTAGTACATCATTTTATATGAGAGAAGGAGGAGGGAGTGAACCTCAGTATTGTACGCTAGCGCATGGGTCCAAGACCAAGACTTCAAAAAGAAAAATTTAGGATGCAAACAAAAAAAATCAGCGCAAGCATGCGGTAATTAGGGCTTCTTCTAAATTCTTCTTGGAAATGGAAACATTATTACAAAAACTTTGCTGGAAAGCTAATGGAGTGACTTGTAAGCCTCTATCCAATACCCTTGTGTGATTTTATCATCCATTTGAATGTTTTTAATGAGAGGAAAACCATTTGCGCCGCGATCGACAAGATCCTTTTATCGATCGTCACAGCTGTGGTTGACCCTCTCTCTATCTTGTGTCTGTTGTGATGTCCATGTGGTGTTGACACAAGTGTGGCACTTTTTTGTGAACACCCTGTAGTTTCTGCTGCTGCTAATGCTGCTTCTGCTAAACAAAACCATGAAAGAACCCTTTTTGCATTGAACTCAATACTGGGTAGGATGATTCTAAGGCATCTGGTACATTGTAGTTGAATTTTGTGTCAATAATTGTTAAAGCATGATTAATTGAATGACTAATGAAATGAAATTTCCACATTAAACCTTTGACATCAATGTGACTTTGAGATAAACTAGATAAAATCGATCATGATTCTATTTTTTTGTAAAGAATTGTAATGGTAATGGGTTATTGATCAACTTTGTGCCAAATTTTTTGAAATTATTGATTGACATCTGAAATTTTGGAAGCGGAGGAAACGGAGGAACACCTAGGAGGGAGAACAGTACTATGGATTGGTTGTCATGGAAACTTAACAATTATGAGATGTGATGGTAAATTACAGGTTACAGCGTAATGAATATTGATACAAACATTCATAAACTATACGCAGAATTGGCCTTATTCTCAATTGTAACTTGTGATAAATGGACATGAAATTGAGTGGCACTCCTGGTTTTAGGTGATGAATTTTTTGTAAAATGCTGATGAATTTGTGTGATTCCCATTAAAGTAATTCCACTACCAAAAAAATAAATGGGCATTGGTTGAACTTCTGAAGTACTCCAGTAAATGTATTAAAGGAACCTTATTAAAAGTAGGCACATGTAAAGTTTGAAACAACTGTTTTGATCATACATACACAAGTCACAAGTTTAGAGCTATTTCATAATTGATCAAGTATCCTGAAAAATTACAGCAATGGTGAAAATTAGGCTGTTAGTGAACAATGAAGAGTCCTTTTACATTTTTTAATTCAGTGAGTGTTTCACCAAAAGTACAGCACTAGTAGTAGCTTTGTGGGTTGTATAGAACACTATCCATAGTATAATAGGAATGTGAATGTGTACAATCATGTAGTATCACCAGTAGCGATCACTTTTTGAAATACTTTTGAAATACTTTATTTTTCAAACTCTAAGAATCATGTACTTAATCAATCTGATGTAATTCAATATTCTGATTTTATACCCTGATCTGTATAGCGAGATTAATTTTTGTATCATCAAATTCAAAAGTCATGAATTGGATTTAAATTTTGGAGGATATATTTTTATGTGAGATATGACTTTTTTTTCTTTTTGAGGTTTTTAATTATAAGAATTATGGTGTTAATTGTATATTGATATGCTTGTACTTAATATGATTCTTAAGCTTATGTAATCCTAGTTGAATGTTAGTGTGATTTTGTTAAAATCTCATAATTCGGATACTATAGAATGCCTCCCTCTCATGTCTAATATTGAAATGAGAGAATTGGTCTAGAAATTTTAAAGGTACAAAGGGCACAAGGTATTTAGATAGAAATGGTTATAATGAATTTTAAACCATGTTGCCAATTTCAAAAGAACATTAGATGAAATTTAGTAATTAAATTCAACTCGGTTTATTATCTGGAATTCCAATATTTAATATGTGTAGGAACTTATGGTTGGGAGCCACCATTTTTAATTGTAAGTAGCGTGACATTTTTGTAAAAAAAAATAATAGATTATTCCAAATTATTCTCAATGTGTAGACTATGAGGAAACAGATATCCTCTCTTATTTACCCGGTTTGAAGTATTTGAGGTACTTGTCTGAAAATTAAGAAGCACTATTGGAGTTTGTGACTCCAAAATTGTATCACTTTCTGTAATCACTATTGTCTAATGATAAAACATTGCAAAATCACAGCTCGTTTCAAGATGTGTAAACACACAATCGCTTGCTTTCTAACTGCATCTCTGCGCTTTTTTTTCCATCAAATGTATATATTTGTGAAATATGTTCAAAACAATTTCACATGCGGAATTACACAAGGAGAAACAAACAAAAAATTGCATGCCTGCTGACTTTGTTTTAAACAATGGCAGAAATCTTTCGGGGAAACATTTCTCAAAATTGCGCCAGATCTAAATCTTACGTTGCCTGCTGTTTGTTTTTGTGTATTTTCCCTCTTTTTTTTCCAACTCAAAAACTGCTTTGCCAAATCATGAATAGTCAAACTGAAAGAATGGAAAAATAATCAGAAGTGCTTGTGTGTGTTTTGTCTTTTGCTGTGTGTCTTCACCGTAAAGAACTGTGGTTGTGAGAATTAACTACCACATTAAACGACATCGATCAGATACTATGAAATATCAACATGCTTGTCTCGCTTGTTTTTATTGACAAAGTGTTTGTTAGAGTGACAGAGAGAGAGGGGGGGGGGGAGGAAGTGAGAACAAGGAGGGTGAGAGAGAGAAGGGGAGAGAAGATTTAGAGGGAGAGAAAAGAGGATGGGAGGTTATAAGAATTAAATAAACTACATTTATCAGAAACTATGAAATATCAACATACTTGTATAAAGGCTAATTTTGATTGACGAAGCGTTTGTTAGAGTGAGAGAGAGAAAGAGAAGAAAAAAGAGAGAGGGAAGGGAGTGAGAATAGGGAGAGGGAGTGAGAATAGGGAGAGAGAGAGGGAGAAACAGAGATGCCAACCAGAGTACGATTAAATCGTATTTAGTACGATAATAAGAGTGAAATGCGATCATCGCCCCTTAAATTTTTTTTTTTTTTTTTTAAAGCCATAAAAACCGTGGAATCGCATAGAAACATATACAAGTAAGCCCCGCCACCCCAACAAAAACTATTTTTTACAATTTTCTCATTTAAATTTTAATGAAAGAGCAAACATTTTACTTCACAGTACTTGCCAGTAAAACATTTTTCTGAAATTTACTGGCCCGCTGGTAGTGTCGATTTTTCTCTCCAAAATCTGATTTTTTAGGATACTTGGTCTGTTTTTTTGTTTCAAGAGGTTGGCATCTCTGGGGAGAGGAGACTGACAGAGAGAGAGAGAAAATAGAGGCAGGAGGGAAGGGAGAAAAGAGAGAGTAAATCAGATATGGTCTTTAGGAGCCTGATATGTCTACCTAACCCAAAGGCTGTATTTCGTTACCTTTCTTCAACTTTTTATGTAGCTTTCTGTAACCCATTCCCTGCATGAGAGAGAGAGTAAGTATGACCCATGGATGGAGTCTGAAGATACAGTAGCAGTTACAAATTGGGACCCAGATGACCAAATGCATCATCACCCCAGACATCATCGAAGTCATCATCATCACCATCATCGTCATCATAATTATTGTCATCATCTGCATCACCATCATCATAATCTTAGGAGATTAGCAAACTTTTTTAAAATTCTAGCTAGGACTGAAATATTTATTATCTTTGTCATGTACACACATATAATACATATATTACAAATATACATATAAAATATTCAAGATCACAGAGCATAACTTTATGCTCCTAAAACATATTTTTTTTAAAGTAAATTTAAGTTAATAAATTGTTTAAATTGATAATGAATACAGATCTGAATTCACAACATTTAAGTTATGGTATGCTGGAAAAGAACATTTGATAAGCTTTATCTCGGTACAATCATACATAACCTGATTTTGAAGCAACATAAAAACAATACTATATTCTCGGCTATACCCTAGAAATAACAAACATTAGAATCCTTAAAGACAGGCTTTTCTGACCAACAGATCAATAGGCTCTTGCTCTCAAAATCAGCAACATTAATGTCATAGTTGATGTTAACCTACTTCTATCGAAACAGCTTACCTAAAATCTTACATGAATACATGTTGCACTTACATAGTGCATACTAGTTGAGATACGTTTTGTTGAAAACATTTTTAAAGTCTCATCATTTTCTTAAAATCAATATTTTTGCACAAGCGAAGAATTAAAGATGAGATGGGTATGCATGGTTCATGTCATTCCTTAAAGGGAGGCTTCACTACTTCAGTCAGAAGGGATTAGACCACCCAGCTCTCATTTAACATAAGAAAAAGAGGATCATGGGGGACCAACAGGCACCGATTTGGGAAGTTTTCTATATATAGGGAGCAAGTAGCTACAAGTAGGACAGTGTGCCTTTAAGAACTTCTTGTACCATGTTTATTGTTTACCAGACTGCAGAAATAAGTCTACACGCCCATTCTCTAGAGCAGTACCGAGCTTCATGTGATGATTATTTTCAGGTATTAATGGCCTCAAAATACCTTGATGCTTTATACTTGAGCCACCTCTAAACACTCCTTTTAGATTGTAATATTGAGCGACTGCCCAAGGGAAACACAAAAAGTGGTCTTCGTAGACAGGTGGTCTTTGTGGACAGGTTTCTGTAGTACATGTTTCAATGAGAAACCATTTTCGAGGGAAACAAAAAATGTGCTTGTTGTAGACAGGTGGTCATTAAAGCAGGTTTGACTGTTTATACAAATGACACAAAACATGAACAAATACGGTCAAACTTATCATACACGTGTAGCTGCCACCTCTCTCTAAAGGCCACCTATTTATAGTGGCCATGTATTTTTTGTGTCTCAAGTAAGAAATGTGTGTTGTAGAACATGTCTAAAAAGGTCATCGAGTGGCCACCACGGGACATTTCAATGATGAGGAGATTAAAGGGGTATGTATCAAAAGGCCTTTGTTGTGCTCGGCTATGTTTCTTCTCTCACCCCAGCTAATTGGAATTCATTTACATGTTAAATGGATTACATTGACAGATACCAGTTGATTTCATTAAAGCCTGTCTGCACTAGTTTGGCCAGAAGGGATTAGACCTCCCAACATGGTCACTGACAGATGGTTATCTCATCAATCCAGCTCTAAATTAACATGAGAAAAAGAGGATCATGGGGCACCAACGGGCACCGCTTTGGCATTGTTGTCTATATAGAGGGAGCAAGTAGCTACAAGTAGTACAGTGGGGCTCTAATGGGTCTGAAAAGAATCTCTGACAGCCTGGTGTCCCATACGATATAAAGCCTGCACTTGAAGAGCCCTTAATGAGCGGGTGTCAGTGCCTGAAATCGGGCCACTGCCTGGAAACTGACATCCCTGTATATTTTGCTGCAGGTTCTTTTTTTCTGTTCTTTTCCATTTGGGGGAGAGGGGAGGAGGGGAAGAGGGAAGGAGGGGGGGGGGGGTCTACTATCATGTATCAGCAAGACTTTGAGAATAAAGTTCCTTCTCTAATGAGGATAAGTAACTCTCTAAGTTCCTTTGATGCAGTCTATTTTCCTCCTCTCTCTTTCTGGTATTCCATCTCAATCTTTGCCTGGATGCTCTCCCAGTTTACATCCACCTAAAAGAACATAAAAAGTGTAAATAAATAAATGAATTAAGACACTGAGTACATGTAGGACCTTAATTAATAATAATAATATACATTCATAAAGTGCAGATAGTATGCAAATACGTTCTACTGCGCTCCAAGGGCTCCTGATGTATTCAAAGTCTAAAACAAAAAGTTATGTGAAAAGTTTTTATTTAAAGGTAATTAACGATGGTTATATTTTTTTTCTAACGGTAAGTTATTACACAATTTCGGGCCTATGCAAAAAAATGCTTTATCTCCAAACATTAGTTTGTTTTATGTGATGGGGTTTGCAATAATAAAGTATCCCCAGAGCTTTATTCATTAGACTGTGTATAAAGTTGATTTTAGCATAAACAAAATTATTGTATTTGGAGGGAGCAAAAGATAATACTCTTTTAATAGGTATTCTGTTGAGGAAGATTTTTTTGTTTTAGAAGTGTGAAATCCACTTAGTCAATGGTAAAAACTGTTCTATTTTGCTCGCAATGAGATCCTAAGACTTACCCCTTGTGAATACTGAAGGAATCGCTTATTTGTTTCCTTCTTCTCAAAGCTGTCCAGGAACTGCTGGCGATACGCAAGAACCGTGTCAACGTGAGTCTTGTACTTGACTGCCAACTCGAGAGCTCTGAGCATTGAAAGACAAATACAAAATTAAAGCCCAAGTTTTGAGAGAGGTGAAGAACTATTTATTTTACCTATATATTAATTCTCATTCTTTTTATGCCAGTTTGGAAGAATATTATATATGTAGTATAAATGTTCCCTGACAAGGATTACTCTTAAAATGCCCTCATATCTGAAATATGATAAGAAATAGCTGAAATATTAGGATCAAACTTTCATACCACATTAGTGTCCAGTCCCACATACCAGTTACAGTATGCAGTCAATTCCTTTTCATTCTAAAGAAATTGACATGACATTTATTCACAACCTCACATTATACATCAAATCGAAGGTACCCAGTAAATCTCAGTGTATAAGACGCACCCCTATTTTTTTTTTGGGGGGGGGGGGGGAATTTTTTTTTGAATTGCCGACTCCATAGGCAGCAAGCCAGATCCACGTTCAAAATCGCTTGCGGGGAAGGGCCTATACTTTACTGCAAGGTGCAGTTTAAGGCGCGGATTTGTTCTTGTGAACTTGTCACAAATAATAGTAACAATGTCATTTTTAAAACTAAAGATGACAGACAAATGTTCCTCTAAGTCCAAACAGAAATCCGGCCATACAGGTAGTGTTGTTGTAGTTCGATCCTACAGTTCGATGCTGTGCCATCACGATAACCCAGGTGACAAATAGTGAGAGTACATTACTGTTGCAACTTTGTAACCTGGATTACAGATTATATAATCTAATACAGTTTTACTGTGCCACTTCAAATAACTTCCTACAGTATCTTACTGAGACTGTATTGGTGCGAGTGGTGAGTCAACACACCTTGTATGACTGAGCTGGGAGACATTGCAAGTCACTGCACAGGTGGAGGGGGCATAAATTGACACTTTAAAAAACAACCCCGACTTTCAATTTTTTTCGGCGGGAAAGAAGTGCGTCTTATACAGAGATTTACGGTACTAAATACTCAACCTTTCCCAATTGCTTCTTGGCATTTCCTTTCACAATGTAGTTGCATGACCGGCACTTAACTCTTTCTTCCCTATTTAGCACAGCTCACTTTGAGCTTTCCAGTGGTAAAGTACTCTTGGCTTCTGTTCATAGACCAGTTTACGGTTGTATCAGTGCGCATGCACAGACAGTTGACCTCGGGTCATTGGCTTTGAAACAAAGCCAATGACCCGAGGTCAGTGGTATTTATGCGTGAATTAAGAGTGCGCCCATGCAAATGATGTGCGCGCACAACGCAGCGCGTAGGCAGTGATTTCATCATAATTTGCATAGGCACAATCTTAGTTTGCGCATAAATACACGACCTCTAGGTCATTGGCTTTGTTTAAAATGGCGCACACAACTGTAAACTGGTGCATTCTTCAAAAGAGGCTTCTTACCTGTCCCAGTTATAGAGTTCAATGTTCATGAGGATGGCTCTGAAGGTCAGGCTCGCCTGGAGGAGGATGCCTTCCGCATCCTGAGGATTACCACAGAACAGAGCCATCTCTGCGTTGCGCACGTCCTTCAGAGGCAGCTCCTTGATGTGCTGGATGTACTGCACTTTGTCAACCTGACACAGAAAGAGCAAAGGTTAAAGGTCAAGATAGTCATAGATTGGGGTTATCTATCAGTACTCAGTTAATTTTATTTTCATTCAACAGTGGGTCAAAACCGGGTTGTTTTCTGTTAAAACAAATATACTTCGCATTTGCCAAGGTCAGTAATGGTAGCGTGAGTGTACATCCATACATTACAGCCGATATTTATCTTGTATAGACATGGAATGAAAAATGTCTATTCTGGTTCACATTTTACAATATTATAAGTTTTCTAAATTCCTTCATTCCTTTCTCTATCTGCAAATACTAGATGCTAGATGCTACCTGAATTTAACGTTCTTCTTTATTTCTGTAATGTTATTTTCTTAACCTTTCCGGGCCATCCCGTTCACTCGACGCTTAAAATAATTCACTTATTATATTTATAATAATGTAAGAAAACTTCTGTATAGCAATATTCTGATGGATTTCGTACCTGGTATGTAAACTTATTTGATGCCTCAGTAATCATGAAGATATTTATTGACTTATACATGTGCTTTATGCAATACGTAAGAAAGACAATCCTAAAATCTATTATCTTTCATACTTACAGCATCTAGGGCAGCATATGCAATCTCTGCAGTACCAAGCTCTTTGTCATAGGCAGCCATGGTTGCTAGGCAACTCCATAGAGCATTATCCTGGTAGATAGGGAAAAAAGATGAGATAAGTAATGAATTGTCTAGATTGTCTGGATCATGTCATGATGAGGTACATAATGTTCAGACAGAAAGTCAGGATTATCGTCATCATCATTATCATCATAATCATCTCCATCATCATCTCAGTCATCATTACCATCAAAATCACCATCATCACCACCACCATCACACTTATCATCATCACCATCACCATCATCATCACGACCATCATAATCATCATAATCATCATCATCACCACCATCATCATCATCACCATCATCACTATCATCATCATCACCATCACCACCACCACCACCACCACCACCATCACGATCATCATCATCTTCATCACCACCATCATCACCACCACTACCACCACCGCCATCATCATCATCACGATCATCACCATCTTCATCATCATCATCTTCATCACCACCACCACCATCTCCACCACCACCACCACCACCACCACCACCATCATCATCACCACCATCACCAAGTGTTGCATCTTCATCCTACCTTCACAAATCTGCATAGCCTGACTGCATCCTCCCATCTCTTGCTTCCTACCAGTTCATGCATCATGGCGGGGTAGGGGGACACCGTGGTGCCTATCAGGGCCCCATCTGCCCTCCTGATGGTCACGCGAGTACCGATGAAATCCACTATCGTTGGATTCTTACCAAAGTCACTGAAAATTAAAGACAGGGGAAAAACTTATTTCATATTTATAATTTACTTTATCATTAAGTAATTATAATTTATTTATATTATTTACTTTCTCGAAACAGTGTTCACTGCCATAACTTTGGTACACTTGGATCGAAATAAAGAAATTAATTTTTTGAGGGATAGATAAAGAAATGAGAGATGGAGAAAACTGAGATATAGAAAGAGAGGAAATCAGAAGACATCTTTGATAATTATATTGACAATGAGATGAGTGATTTTATGAGTATCATATTTTGTACAAGTGCTGAATGCTTGATATTTACCATTACTAGATAAGAAAAACATAAGATAGACAAAGAGAGGGAGAAAGAGAGAGAGAGAAATATAAAGAGAGGAAAGATTATACTCCAAGTTTAGCACACATGGCAAAAACTCAAGACAAACAGAGAGAAAGAGAAAAAAGAGAGAAAGAGAAAAAAGGGAGAGAGAAAGATTAAAAGGGGGAGAGAGAGAAAATGGGAGAGAGAAAGAGAAAGAGAAAGAGGGAGAGTGAAAGAGAAAGAGGGAGAGAGAAAGAGAAAAAGGGAGAGAGAAAGAGAAAAAGGGATAGAGAAAGAGAAAAAGGGAGAGAGAAAGAGAAAAGGGAGAGAGAAAAAGAAAAAGGGTGAGACATGAGAAAAAGGGGGAGAAGTCTTGAAAATTGCCATTACTTCTGCTTCAGCACATTTAGAAAACAACCAAGACAGAGGAAGAGAAATGCCGGCAGAGAGGTTTACAACAAGCTATCTTATAAATGCTACATGCACACTACTTTCCTAAGGTTCTCCTTACCTAACATCCTTCACATGGAATGGCAGTTGATCTTTGTCCACATACACAGCATTGGGGTAGTACCACATGGTGAATTTACCATCCTGGAGCGCCACTAAGACGTTGGTCGTATCATTCCATGCAAAGCTGGTTACCATGTTACCTAAACAGGAGTGACAGTACATCAGTATAATTATTAGAAAATATAGATGAGTATTAATAAAAGTTTTGCAACTTTAGTCTAAGTTTAAGTTGGCAGGTTAATCCCACTTCATTACCCTTTAGACCGGTAGTGGTAAAATTGTGGTCCAAGGGTTTTGGGTGCAAAATATCCATTCAATATTGTTTAAATATTGCCTTCAGAGGTTTAGATTGCAATACCTGTACCTCAACCTAAATTCGCAAAAAAACAGAAATATTTGCCCAAATGTTCAATGTTGAAGTGCATTCGCAATATCTATCCCGGCCTGATCGATGTGATAATTTACCAAATATATCAATTAGTAGGCGGTTTCCCAGCAAAATTTGTATCATCACGTATTAGTCAAAACATATTCTTTCACATGATTGGTAATAAGAGCTTCCATTTCATTCTTTGAGAGGGGGCGTTTCCAAAGCTGGCCTATACCTTTAAACCTCCTGGATATTGCTGTAACATATTGCACAAACCTACAGTGATGTGTACTATAAGAAGAAAAAACACACGTTGTATTGATCGAACACAGAATTCTTGGGGAAGAAAGCCAATATGTCTTCAGAACCACATAAGTTTAACAGGTAATGTAGTCCAGCTGAGAACTTAACATCGCAAAACAGAAGAAGATTGAAGGAAAGCACTATAAGAAATGGTCCCCTGTAGAAGAAGTTTTTTGATTATAATCCTTTGATATACACTGTAGAAAAGGAAGTATTACCCATTATTTCTGTATTGTTTGACGTTTTTTCAACTGTTTTTGCCTTTTTTAATTATTGTGCAGTGATTTTTATGATTATTGTTATGATGTATGTACAAATTACTTGATAAATAAAAGTTTTAAAAGATTTATTTAAAAAAAAATGTAGTCCAGCTGAAGTTCTTACCCAGCTTGACGATCTTGGCGGGCTTGCCAAAGTTGCGGACGGTAGCGAGGTAGAGGTCTCTGTTCTTGTCCACTATGGCCAGGTGACGGTCAGCGGCCGGACCTTGCTGGTCTAAGGCTACCTCCATTACCTCCAACTGGAATGAAAAATAAATAATAATAATAATCATCATCTCAAAAATAGGATAATCGTCGTTTGAATATGCTGTGGTATAGTAGATATTTGATAAGTCCTTGTCCCAAGTTGAACTTATCTCTACGTTGGACTTAACAATTATGGAAAGCTATCAGCATCTATGAAAATATTTTGTAAAAGTTTTTTTAAAAGGCATAAAATGTTGATTCAAATCATTCATATTTTCTATTATCAAGGAGATTTCATATTCTTGATGTGGAATCATAAAAAGTCTAAAATACTTCAATTTTCGCTTTTGAATATATTTTATTTTAAGACTACAAATGGCTCTCCATAATTTTTAAGTCCAACTTAGAGTTAAGTTCAACTTAGGATCTTTGTGAAACGCCCCCCAGAAGATATGGGGTTCAAATCTCTACTGCAACATTAATGTCCTTTGGCGAGACATTAATCCACATTTGACACACTCGACCCAGGTGAGGTATGGTATTTCAGACTTCAACCCTATGGAAGATGACAATATCAGTTTTGCACAGAATGTATGAAGGGTCAACGATTCAAATTTCATCGTTGAAATGGTGGATCTTTAGAGCAACAATAATAATAACAATAATATGATGTCTTTTTAACCAAGGGTAGCCTCATCAAGGCCTGCTGCATAAAACTTAGGTAACTTTGCCATCAATGGCAACTACCATGGTAACAGGGCTCAACAGCCAATCAAAATCAAGGTTTCCATGGTAGTTACCATCGATGGCAAAGTTACCATTAATGGTATGATTTGTGCAACGGGCCCAGTATTAATATTGTTCTCCCTGAGGGCCCTGCAATCATAGCATATCCTGTCATGATTTACCTTATGAGACAGTGGTTTGCTTTCCAGTGGCTTGCCTGTGTTAGCCTCGAAGAGATGGACCAACTTCTCATCCGTCTTATCCCTGATGGCTACGGTGTCTGCGCAGATGGACAGCGTCAGTGAGCTCAGGGTGTCCGGTCGCATCCCAGCAAACTTGGGCGAGGAGATGAGACGACCCTTCAGGATTAGGATTAGAGAGGGATTAATCAAAGGGAAATGTTGGGTAATTCAAAGATTAAAAATTCAAGATTCAAGATAATTTATTGTTGTGTAAAAAATATATCAAATTTGTTTTCGGACATTTCCCAAACTAAACACATTGATGATTTTTATATATGGTTTTCTTACTTTGAATTAAACCTAAATAGACAAAAAGAAAATAAATTACTTTCATGCCATAGTGTCGAATAGAACCATTTGTGTCATGAGCAAGGGTCTTTACAAAATAATTTTCAACCATCACACAGATTTTTACAATATAACATTGGACCTAAGGTTTTGATGATTATAAAAGGTGGATATTTCTTTTGTTTCTTCATAAATCAATGTTTTTGGAATGAATCATTTCAAATCTTAAAAGAGATTTATTTCTACAAAGTTGACATTTGCACCATACCTCATATGTATATAGATGAAGCCCTGCAGCGTCTACGATACCAAAGTGCCTAGGGACAAATCAAAAGAAAAAGAATATTAGAATATCAGTCAGGATAAGACTCTTGGTATGATTGTTGATTGTGTTTTGTTTCATTTCAAGGAATTTGTATTCCCCATGGCTTCAAACATAGAATCTGTATGATTTTTAAGACAAAATTGGAGCAGTATGTGTCAGATGTAGCTATTACACACCATATTTCTTGACTGGATTATGACAGGAATAAGAACAGGAATAGGATTTAGATATTAATGTAAGGTCGTCCAGATTTAGGGCCCAGAAATTCATATTATTACTCTATTAAAATTGCAGGGTATTCTAATCTTCTCGTCAGAAGAAAAAAAATCTGAGTCAGACACCTGAAAGACCCATTTGTCAATTAAAATATCAAGAGAATTCTCAATTTTGATAAAAGTACATGGATAAAATGCTTGTGTCATATACACTGTATGGGGCACATTTTAAGGAATCACCCTGAATATAAATTCTATAATTTCTGATACTTCTAAAACAGACTCACATCTCAGAGTTGAGAGTTCAAAGTTTTACGATTTAGTTTCATATTTAGTTAAAAAACAATACATAAAATACATGGAATAAAATATGGGATCACGATAACTAGAACTGTACTGTATTGTCCTGTGAAAGTCGAGGTAAATGTTAAAATGACAAACGAAAGTTGTTTTTCAAAACTTTATTTGACAGGGTGAGGTGACTTACTTCTCGGCTAGTACAATGAGTGTGACAGTGCCCTCCTTGAGGTCAAAGATCATTGGAGTGTTCCAATTCTTGGTGCTTGGGGTGGAAGGAAAAAGAAAGTTGATATGATTTGAGGGAACCATTGCATTTCAGTTTCATCAGGTTCATATCAAAACAATGATATATATACATCACACCTCAAACACAAAAAACAAAACTCAATCAGAGACATGAGAACGAGATCAAATTTACAATCAATTTATTTCTGATCACCCTTGCGAACTGAAGTTAGTCATTCATCAAGTGCTTATATTATTTTCAGAGAATTAACAACAGCTACATCAATGATATTCAACTCTTCTTAGTCACAGCTAGCATGATACTAGGTAAACATTTTTCAAGATTCAAATTTTGAATAATTCTCTACATAATTTCATGAGAACAACCCTCATATTTTCTTTAACCGTTTCTGCTTCAACTTCTTTTCATTTTGATCATGCCAGTACCCCACAATATACACTGATTTATTGTCCAAAAGAAATGAATCACAATGAATTGCATGGCCAATTCTCACTTTATCTGTCAATAACCTACCTGTAAACATAACACTGAGAAGCTGTTGCAACCACAAGATGGTCGTACGACAGGGCAGTCTTGATGATGCGATCTCTGAACTCCAGCTTCTCCTTGGCATCATTCGTCACGTTACGAACGTTGATAGATTTAATCGATGTCACAACCACCTCAAAGTTCTTCCATTCCAACCGCCTGAATGGGGAAGTAAAATGAATCATTTGAATATAAACGTGCAGTCATAAAGTCATGACCTTCCTTTTAATAGGAACAGACAGGTCCACATTTTGGTCTGCTTTATAGTAACCAAGACTTTTTTGTAATATCAAATATTTGATTACAAGGACGATTTGACATCAAACAGCTCCACAAACAAAATTAATCAATCCTCAGCAGTGATCAAACAATTGCTTGTGCAAAATTTGTTCTACTCTTTATTTCCCCAAAGATAAGGATTAAGGTAAAAAAGTTAGGGCTGTGATTGGGTTTAAGGTTACTTTCGGGTAAGGCTTTTAATAAAAGTAAGGTATAGTTTTAGGTCCAGGGTTGAAGTTAGCCTAGTGTAGAAAATTGATTTTGCAGTATCCGTTGCCGAATCATGTGTCATAGAACCTACTATGCCTTATACCTGATCCAAATTGAAAAAAACAAAAAACATCTAAAGTGGTAACACTGACCTCTCGATGACATGCGAGAAGATCACATGACCGTTCCCACAAGCCCCTGCAACTTGCGTACCGTCACCACTCCAAGCTATGTGAAAGATACTACCAGTGTTGGGCTTCTCCAGGGCATAAGACCACTGCAACAGAAAACAAATCCAAGGAAAAAGAAGTTACCCTAACCATATCTTTATATTCACATTAAAAAAAGGAGTATAAATACTTCTCAAATTGTATCTTACACACACGGTTGAGTTTTCAAAGCCCGTACAGTAGTGGTAACAAGTAGGATATATTGGAATGAAACTTGTTCAATGTCATCTCATTCTTTCATATCTATATGGAAAAAAATATATTCACGTGCCATATATTTTGATATTCATCCATGATTACACATAAGCTCAAATGCAAACTAAATGAAATCAAATGAAAATAAATTCCACGCAATGATAGCTCTCTCAACATCATTAACCTAGCTAGTCCAACTCCTTTTTTTAAAAGTCCCTACATCTTTCAGATTTTTGGAAAGTCTTTAAACAAATTTTCTTCTTCTTCTTCCATAGGAGTACATCCCTCTTTACAGAATATTGTTGTACTATACTGGTGTGTGCAGGTAGACCACTACACCGGGGTTCCCTCTACTCTTATACAAATAGTGCAGTGGGTTCTGCAAAGGTGCAAAGGTGGCGACTATCCTCTACACAGGCCTCCATTTAACGTCCTATCCGAGGGACGGAGTGTTTTCCCATTTCTCAAGAGGCCCAAGGTTCGCATTTGAAAGAGCTACTGACCCCGCTCTTGTCGCACAGCCTGAGAGTATTGAAAGAACCAACAGCAAAGAGCTCTCCGTCCGGAGCCCATGCCACGGACACAATGGGGTAGTCATGAGGGTGACAGCTGTAGAGCTGACGGCCGTAGGAGTCCCAGACACGGTACTTGCAGTCTTCTCCGCCGGACAGGATGAGATTGTTGACGGGGTTCCAGTCCACCTTCAGGATCACACCGTCGTGGGCTTTCCACTGGGGAAAAAAGGAAGAGATATCAAATAGTTTTGGGTAGGAATTTTTTTTGGGGGGGGGGGAGGGGGAAGAATCACAGAATTGTACAGATTTGCAACAATCCTTTTATGCAATTATTTACAAAAACACCGCATACTTCAGGTTCATAAATATCATAAATACTTTTAAATGACATAGATGGAGCTTTTGGTCTTGCACACATCAGAGTTAAATGCAACAAAATGAGTAGAAAGCTACAAGCAAAGAATATAAATGGACACCAAAAGGGACAAAGCATGGGGAAAAGAAAATATGTGACTAAATGCTACAATATGTCTCTGTAATACAGCGAAACCTGTCTATAAAGACCACCAAAAGGGAGAAAAGAAAAGTGGTCTTTATAGGCAGGTGGTCGTTTTGTACGGGCTCCTTTAGTACATGTTTAAATGAGAAACCATTTTGAAGGGAAGCAACAAATGTGGACTTTGTAGACATGTGGTCACTAAAGCATGTTTGACTGTACTGATCATCTATCTATTCATCTTAAAACACAAGAGTTTTAACATACCTGAAGAGGTTTAGCATTGGCCTGCAGTGACTTGATAATGAGCTGTTTACCGTTGGTTATGAGTACCTGATCGGAATCAGGTGACCAGCATATTGAATATACAGCTGAACCTGTAGATAATGAAAAAGATTACATTTTCAAATACATTTAGTTGACAATACAGGGGGGTGTTTCACAAAGATCCTAAGTCGAACTTAACTCTAAGTTGGACTTAAACATTATGGTGAGCCATTTGTAGCCTTCAAATAAAATGTATTCAAAAGTATTTTAGCCTTTTCATAAATTCCACATCAAGAACATGAAATATCCTTGAAAATAGAAAATATGAATGATTTGAATCAACATTTTATTCCTTTTAAAATAACTTTTACAAAATATTTTGAAAGATGCAAACAGCTTTCCATAATTTCTAAGTCTTACTTAGAGATAAGTTCCACTTAAAATCTTTGTGAAACACCCCCAGGTATATATGGAGATCTATGAAATGGAAAGTCTACCTTGACACCGAATTTCTTTGAATACAAGTTTAAGAAAAATCTGAGGAAAACTAGAGGTATTATAAGTTTTGAAGATTGGCCTGCAATACCTTGCAATATCCCTTTGACCATTACTATAATCATTTGGATCCTATGTCAGAAAAATTTTACAGGCTAGCATATCTGATGATAATGAAATCTCTTCTGAAATCTAATCATAATTCCATTGTAAAATGTACAGGTGACATCTCTGATTGTAACACAGCTTTATCTAAAGTCCTGTGTAGGTGCATAGAAATGTTATATAACAAGGTGATATATGCACTATACAAGAATGGCAGACCTCTATCATTAACCCCTCCCCCTCCCTCCCACCCCCCCCCCTACCACACCCTCAGAGCCCATTACTGACCCGTAGATGCTAGAGTTGAGCGCAGCATTCCACTGCGAGACCATATCTTGACCTGTCCGTCTTCACCGGCCGTTGCCATGGCAGTACCATCGTAGCTCCACCTTCCTGACAGCACGGCTCCTCTATGCGCATCCACGGACTTCTCAACTCGACCAGACTTGGATATCAAGTGAAATTTACCTGTTGAAAGAGAGAAAGACCATGGACCTATTACGGATGGACATTCGACGTGATTCTTTCTTTGATCCAACGATTTGATCCACCTTCTGATTTTGTGCATCTTAATGAGAACATTCAGCTGTTTTAACAATAAGGACTGGTAAGCATTTTTTGTCATCGACAAAGGAGCAGTTTCCCTCTCTTGGGTTTAGTTAGGATGGTGTGCTCTGTAAGAGTGTGTCTTAAATGAAAACATTATTAATGGGGAGCAGCAAAGTTGAAAAACAAACAAATTTGGTGATATAAAATGTATTATTACTGATTCGCACACTTTCGCACACACCAATCTATAATAATAATACGCTAAGGCTCCGCGGGGGGCGCGACGTCTCGGCGAGCCTTTGTATTCTATTGTTTTTTAATGAGATCGCCGACCCAAGTTGGTGCGGCTATCTCCTCCTGAACCCTCCCCTCGGGGTACCCGTGCCCTGTGCCATCGTCCGCGGGAGAGTCTACTCTGTGGAATTGGCTATACTCCGCCCGAGGTCCTCCTCCGTGTCGACGTCCAGGGCGAAAACAGACGCGATATGCATAATGCAGGATATGCATGACGACAGAGATACCTCATGGATATTCAACATGACATCCGTAGACACACGACCGATGACTGTCCACTCACATTAAGTTGCGTATTAAATGCACGACGCACAGGGTCGGGCTTACCCGAGTAAAGCATCTTTCTATAGGATATCCATTGTATAGTAGCTGCACGAGCCACAGAGATACACACGAAGCTTCCCGTCCACGTCCAAACTTAGGGACCTATTTCCATCATTATTGCCGCGATTTTTATATAGGTGTCGTGAATGGAGGTATGAAATGAAAGCTTATTTTGTGATTATTACGGCCATGCTACTAAATTTTGATTATCATTTTCTAAAGGAAAGTTTTCACAAGAAAACCATTGGACTGACAATTCAGTCGCAAGCTGCCTTCAGTCAGTGCAGTGCCGCTGTGCAGTGTGTGTGAGCTGCAATTTAACTCCAGCAAGCTCCAACACCGGCTCCGCGCACCGAAGGCGTCCGAGGCCTGCGGCGCCGGTGTTCGAGCTTTCTGGAGTTACACTGTGTGTGTGTGTGTGAGTACAGCTGAGCTGAGCTCGAGTCGAAGAGATTTGACACTTTGAAATTGTTATCTGTTGGTTTGCATCATTATTGCCGCGATTTCAATATAGTTTCGTGAATAGATTTACGAAACCTGAGCTTAGAATTAGTAAAAGTATTACTAATGTCTACGTTTTTAAACGACTGTCTGATTTTCTTGTGAAAATTTTACTTTGAAAAATAATTATCGAAATTTATGGTCAGAAATAATCACAATCTAGGGTCTATTATGTTACAGTTCTTGCATCAAATCAATGCATGAAAACTTATTTTTTGAACTAGAAAAATGTTTTTTTTTAAAATAGGCAATTATGAAGAAGGAAACCTGAAACCCTGAGTTGAGTGTATATTTGTTTCAAGGGGCCATAAACCCCCAAAAGCTCGGGGGTTACGTTCTTCAAAGTTGGGGGGGGGGGGGGAGAGAGATCAGATCGCAGCGAGTTGAGTGTATATACAATATAGGCGTGGGGTCCACGGTTTCAAGGGGCCATAAACCCCCGAAAGCTCGGGGGTTTTAGGTGTTTAATTAGGGTCAGATGAGCATATTTTTAATACTTTATTTGTGACACTTGCGGGTCACTAATTGGCGTGGGGTCAATACGTAGTGTTGCTACCAACTACGCTGGCCTACGTTACTATATGCTGAGGGACAGAAAGGGGTACGCAAGATGAACGAAAACAAGTCAACATGTTTAATTTTTTTCGCGTACTTTCAGCGTAGAAACTTGACGCAGAAAGTACGCCTTTTTACGCAACACTATGCTACCCTACGCCAGATCGTCAAAGCAGTAAAAGCTTTCCACACAGTAAGCAACCATATAAGCAAACCTGTATGCCAGCCTACGCATAACCTACGCAGGGACTATTTTCCCATTAATACGCAGCCTAATTTCTGCGTAGTCGGTACGCCACACTACGGAACTCTACGCAGTTCCAGTGGCTTAAAGAATAACTACCGGTACAGTTGGATCTTTTTTTAATTTTTTTTATATAAGGCCAAATTTTAAAAAAAACATGTTTAGCGTCCTGTTTTTTCGAAAAATGGGAAGGAGGAGGCCCTTTTTTTTTTTTTTTTTTTTTTTTTTTTTCTTTCAAAATGGCTGCTCAGTACATTTTCCCCGACATTCAGGCTATTTTTCAAGATGGCGGCCGATAATTTTTTTTTCTTTTTTAAGATCAGAAATACATTTTAGCAGTGCTTTTCATGTTTTTTTCTTCAAAAAAAAAAAAAAAAAAAAAAAAAAAAATCAAAAAAAAAATTCAAAAAAAAAAAAAAAAATAGGAGAGGCGGCCCCCAGAAAGGAAGCGGGTGGGGACGCTGTTTTTTTCTGTCAAAAAAAAAAAAAAAAAAAAAAATTCAACAAAATTTCAACAAAAAAAAAATAGGAGGCGGCCCCAAAAAGGAAGCGGGCGGGGAAGCTGTTTAAAAAAAAAAAAAAAGGAGGTGGCCCTCAAAAAGGAAGCGGGCGGGGACGCTAAACATGTATATTTTTTTAATGGCCTGAATGGCAAATAAAGTTCTTGACGATCTCTATATATCTATTTACACCCCCCGCCCCCTCTAGAATCCCGCGGATTTCCGCGGGTCCTGCTAGTGACCTTATAAAACAATAATAAGACCATGACCTTTATAAGCCCTGTGTGTTGTAACTCTGGAATATTATGAGGAAATTGGGGGAAACGGGATTTTAAATCGCAAACAATCCAAATATAAACTTTATCTGGTATAAATATCAACATGTTTTTCAAAATAAAACACAGTACACGGAACAACAATTTCCGATTATAAACCAGAACTTTTGTATTGGTCTTAGAACATCTAAATAACAAAAGAAAAAGAGAAAAAAGAAGAAATATAACATTTCCATCAATTTTACAATTGACAGACACTTTGTATTACCTCCAAATGACATTATGTGCTCAATCTTTGGCACCGAATTTACATACATGGAGTAGTAAAACTTACCATCTGTAGATGTCAACACAAAAACATCTGATTGTGACTGCTTAGCCTTTCCCCCAGTCCCCTGGGGAAGAAATGAATGTCTGTAGCATAGATGTCATTGGGTAGTTTGGCTAGACTGCTAGTCTCATCGGACAGGAGGTTCCAGCGTAAGATTTGATGGTCATCGCTGCATGAGTAGAGCTCTTCCGATGTCGTCCAGGCCACACAGCTTACCAGCTCGGAATGTACACGGTAGTCAAGGAGAACTGCTAGCATTGATAATAATTTTTTAATTTTATTTATTTATATATCTATTTGTTTAAAATGGTTGATTTAAAATGAAATTGAATAGTGTACACAAAATTGAACCAAAATATATACTTAAGAAAGACCTGTTGTTTTTCGCACATGAAAATATGGTTACAATACAATATTCTGCAAGTGAAGCCAGGCTGGCTACATGAAGCAAGACCAAAGCGAGAGATGACGAGGAAATAGAGAAGGAGAGACAAGACGAGGGAGAGAGAGAGTGGGGAGAAAGAAAGAAAGAAAGAGGGAAGAGGGAAAGAGAGGTAAAATAATAATAATTGGGTTTATTTACCCAAGGTAGCCACATCAGTATTATTCTGCTCTCTTGCGAGCCCTGCAACTATCAATACTACCACAGCAATTGCCAAGTACCCATTAACACCTAGATGAATAGTGGCAAATGTGGATTGATGTCTTGCCAAAGGACATCAGTGCAAGGCTAAGATTCAAACCCTAAACCCTTGGATTAAGAGTCAAGAGAGTAAACCACAATACCTCCCGAGTCTTTGGAAGGAATAAGTAATTCTTTCAACCCATCACTGTAAACTCTCACATTTTTATGAGGTTTTTTTCAAATCCTCTGATCTAGAAAGTGATGAATTTCACAAAACACACGAGAAAAAAGAAAAAAAAGTCACTGAGAAATTGGTACGGAATTGAACCACCATTCTTGCACTACTGTATACTTTTTGTGACTTCAAAACATTTTGAATCAAAATCTTGAAATTGCCAACACATAACGGAATTTAAATGCTTTATTTCCTAGCAACAACAACAAAATGTATATATTCTTTGTTGAATTTTGTGTATTTTTTGTTCTTCATTATCTGGTATTTGTATTTAGAATGTGAATGTGAAACAAGTTCATTAGTGAAATTTGTGGGGAAAAGTTTTTTTTTCTTGACGGGTATCAAAACTTTATTTATTTGTTTGTTTGTTTCATGTAGCATTTTTAACTTTTTTTTCTACAGATAGATATATTCTTTACAATGTCTATGACAATATTATTAGGGAAAGGATATGTTTTGGCTCCTTTGGAAGAGAAGTCTTGAGCCTCATGACTACACTCTCTTTCTCTCTAAGAACAGCACTGCTTATCTCCAGGAATTCTGATTCTCTTGGTCTGCACTCGATATCTGTTTGGAAGTAAAACAAAAAAGAAAATAGCATCAATGTTTTCACATCACCCTTTCAAATATAGAAACCAGTAAGTCAATTTTACGTTCTTACAGGTTTTATGTCCTTAATTGATTTTCACTTACTTTCCCAACGAACTTAAGCAATAACAAAATTTAAATGTCTGGATTTAGACCTCTCTTTTTGGCATTTGTTTTACTTTGTGATTCAACATCAAAATACGTCAAGATAGCAGTCAAGACTACTCCGACTCAATTTAAGATCATTTCTAAAGTAATGGTAGCACTCACACCTCCTGAAAATTTGTCAATGTCTGAATTAAACAACTTTTTGACAAGGTCATGGACGCAGACCAAATAACGGGATTGAGAACTCAAAGTCAAACACTCTCATTTTTGTTCATAATCATCAGTTGGGAGACATGTAGAAGTGCCATATGTAGATGCATATCTCCAACATAAATCCTGTACCAAGTACAGATCTCCAAACTAGAGGACACCAGATTCAGACTCGGCGAAAGAGACTCCATGAATTTTATTTTTACTCAGTCAAAAGACATTATGAACTACAGACACAGTTAGGGTACACCAAATGAATAGAGTGGGACTACACATACGTTATTAATCCATATTTCTTGACAAAGTATTCATTCTATATCAACCATTATCACTGTTTTTCATCAAATATAATATTATACACTAGTATGAAGCTAAAAATACACCCACAGACATGGTGCACTTACCGTTTCTATGTGAAAAAGAATTTACGGCGTCCTAAGAAACGGCGAAAGTTGTCTAGAGATGGAATGCATTAACTGCGCATGTGTAATACAATAAAGGTATAACTATTCATCAAAATATACTAGTTTTTATTTAAATAGAGTAATTATTTCAATGATTTAAATTATATATTTAATTACTAATATTTTTTGATCATATAAAGAGTTTTTTAAACAAAAATGAAATAAAATTTAACATTATAAGAAAAGTTTGTTTAGAGCCTGACATATCAACAATTAAGATGACGACCCTACACAACAACCAGTGCTAGTGCTATGGTCCTGATCCAGCGAGAATTGCAGGTGAAGCCGCGGAGAACTCCCCCGACACAACGGTCTCAGCACACCGCTCTTCCTCAATTGGTCGTGTTTTTTCAGCGGCGAACCTGCTTTTCTCTGCATGATACTATTTCCCATGTCCGGAGTAGTGTAACTTTTGTTAATTAAGGTAACCCAGACTTTTTATGAAATCATCAGGAGTAAGAGTATAGATTTACCAGTCGTTTTGTCGAAATTACATGAATGTAAGATAGTCTAGATCTAGATTCTAGATCTAAAGAGAGTTGCGATTGAAATCAAACCAACTTTGTGTTTGGCCATATAAAGTCTATATCTATCATAAAGTTGTGCTTGATCTTGAAAGTTGCGTTTGATTTTAATTTTAGGACTTCCGTGTGACTTTTCAGAGTTTAAACGCAACTCTTTATTTTATGCAAGAGGGACAAGGGCCCAGCCAGGTTGGTTTAGATCTAGGTCCTACTCATCTAGACTCTAGGCCTAGATCTATATCCGGACAGTTAATTTCAATTCAAACACAAATTTTGTAGAAGTTACCTGCAGTATTTAATAAATTATGTAAATACCGATAACCTATTTAGCTGTAGTGTTAGAGCTAGAGTTCTATCTAAATTGAAATATAATTTTCATATTAACGGTTTCCTTCTCCAGAATGGATCCTTTGAGGAGTTCAAGCCGTTCAACAATCAACGTGACCTTACCGAGTCAACATAGCGGCAGCGCAGCAGGATCAGCTGAAAGACAACTACAGGCCAAGAAACAGGTGGTGGTTCCAGATCCAGAGCAAGATAAACAGTAAGTTTGGAGAAGATTTATGGTCACACATGCAGGGGCTAATATGGACCCTACTCTTCCTTGGACCATTTTGAACATGGGAAGGCCAGATTTGTGTGGGGGGGGGGGGGGGGGGGGGGGGGGTTACCACTTTTGCAGACAAGTTTAGCCAAAAAGAATTCCAACAAAAAATGCAAAAATGAAGGGAAATTAAATAATCCTGGTTTCTCATTTCCAAATTTACGGACAAGAGTCTTGACAGTTTCAAAACAAATTCTGTCAACAACAAAAAAGAAAAGAGGTCCCACTGACATTTTCATACTTTGGTGAATAGATTCTATTATTTGGGAGAAGATTGTCACCTGCTAATATACTGCTTATAATCACTTGCAATGTTTGTAAGTGTTCATTCCTACTTGTAGCAAGATTCATTTTATGTTTGTGATCCCCTTTAAAATTATTGATATAAACCTGCTTATTCTATTCCTTTTTAAGTTATTTCAAATGTTATCACATCTACTTATAATAAGGGGTATGAAATTTATTCATTTCTTCATTGCAACCATATACATTATAATATTTTTGATTTTGAGTGCAAATTTAAAATCATAATAAACATGACGAACAAAGAAAGCGAACAAAATATACAGTGTTTCAGGTAGACAAAGGAACATCCCTTCACTGCTATTATGTAAAAAATATGTAGAACAGGTGAATATGCATGTGACACCTGTTCTACCAGGGAATAATTTTCCTCAAATTTTTTGATTAGCAATTTCAGCCGATGGATAAATATTTCAAATGAAATTCTGTACATTTCTATGGAAGAAAACTGCTACACAAAAGATATTTTGTATAGCAGTCATGCAAAAATGCATAGCAAATTGCGATGCGATACCAGGAAAATTATTCCCTGTCTACACATTTTTACATAATAGCAGTGTAGGGATGTTCCTTTATCTACCTGAGGAACTGTATATTTTGTCCGCTTTCTTTGTCCGTAATGTTCATAGTGAATACAACAAGATACATAATGATAGTTAAAACAAAATTGCACAATAACACTTTATAAAGTCTCTGTGATAGCTATTTGGTTACTATGTTCAAACAAAAACTGTATTTGCTTTAGATAATATATAATAATTGATTTATCTTGTGTTTCTATTTTTGTGACGTTGAAAGGTTAACACAGCTACTAGCAGCAAGGTCTATAGAAAGATGCTGGTGTTCCTACAGAGATAAACAGATGTTCAAACTTCTCAAGCATGCAGTATGTGCAGCAGTGAGTATATTATATCCGCTGCTTGGAGCCAGAAGGCGTTAACTCACAGTTAATGTCTTTCTCGCTCCAAACAGATAGTATTTATTAAATAATGGTACAGTCACTGTGAATAAAGAGTTGATATTAATCACAACTTATTTATATCGCATAATAGCATATCACATATCCCACACCATACCATACCATGCCAGAGTCACTTAAGAACCACATTTGCAATGGAAAATATATCCTAAAATATCACAATTTAGTGTTAAATCACAATGCACAACATTCGGCAAACACCAAAAGGAACGGTCAACTCGGACATCTACCTTGTGTTAGTTGATTTTAAAGTTCTTTCACTTCTGTGAGAAAGTAAGTGAAAATAAACAAAGGACTAAAAAGTCGTAACAAACAAATCTGGTTTCTATGTTTGACAAGAAATTATATTTATGGTGGTGTGATCAGAGTCCGGGTGTGACCTAATTGATATCAATTTCAACTATGTACATAAGAGATAGGAGACTGCAAACTTGCGATTGATTGAAAGACCTACGATTGATTGGATCAATCAATCGCAACTCTTTATACCTTAGACGGGGCCCAGAAATAAATAATTAATACATAGAGGGTGTGTGGAAGCAGACAAACTTACCGTGTGCGGATCTAAAGGAGACTAAGAAAAAACGTGATAGAAGGAAGAATGATGAGGTGTGCAATGGAGTAAGTGAGAAGAGGACAGCAAGAAAGAAGAGAATGAGCTCATACGATGATAGTATGGAGTGCAGGACGAGGAGGAGAATGGCAGTTGGACACAACTAGACATATTTAAAAGATCATGGCAAATATAGAAAGTATATTTCCTCTCTTGTTTTTCAGAGTAAAAAAATAAATAAAGCTATATTTCTTGTTTTTAAAGGAACACTCAATGACCTATGAAATTCTCAGAAAAGTTGCTCCCAATGAAGCGCACTTGCTAAAAGATAAAAGCATGAAAGCCAGGGTTCGTTTCAGGTAAGAAACGGTATTGATTTCATCTTTCTTGTTTTGCTTGCATTCAGAGAAAGAACTTCCTCACTTGCAGTCTTTGCTTGTGTGTATTGGAGAAAAATATTCATCATTATTTAAAACATTCAATTGTTCTGTCTGGCCAACAAAATTGTCATATATCTAATATTTCATGACTAGTACACAGATCCCCTTTGCCAGAAAGGAGGTATATATTAAATACTCCTTTTCCCAAGAACTGGACGAGCATATGGAACGCCCTCGACCAGCAGTCTGCAATAGCCACATCTGTTGAGAACTTTAGAAACACACTTTAGCACGTACCACCTGCCATACAAGTTAGCGACATGCGGAATACCGCCCTGCTGACTACAAATACATAAGGTTCAGAAGGTTCAGAGTACAAATGTATACCAGTGTGTCCCACTCGCCCCCCCCCCCCTTTCCCTCTATTCCCGCTCCTCCAGCCAAAGTTGAGAATGTTATGAGACAAAATATTTTCGAAGTACTTTAAAAATCTTAACTATAAAAATTCTGATTTAATGGTTCAAGATTTGCAGGTTCAGAGTTTCCACCCGTGATTCTGTTTAAGATCTTCACACACACTGAGGGCCATGGACTCAAGTATTTCAGTGGAAAGAAGATCATCAAGCCAGCATCGGATGTAAGTTGATGACCTTTGACCTTTTCTGTGCGGACATTTCATCTGTGAGAGTTGTGGGATTTCTCTGCGTAATATTTGACATGAAAACTGAAAGTTGAAACTTTCTTGAAAATTCGTTCATATTCTTTTCATAAATCATAAGGCACCCATCACAATTTTATATAAAACTACACTTCTAAATAGCTTTGGAAGTTATCACACCGGCTTTAGCTCTGGCAATTATTATCAGTTAACAGAGCTTGTCCAGGAATAATCCTACCAGGCACCCTCTCACTACAATTAGATTGAGAGTGACAAATCAAGCTTAATGCTACGTTAAAGGATGTTGTTACATTCAGAAGGAATTGAACCCTGTACCTTGTGATGTACACTGTGTTGACTTTTCCAAGACGCCACAATACCTCTGCCACTTTAAATCTCATTTTGTTGTTGTTATTAACCATGCAGGCATCTGCTGATGCATGCAGGGAGATGGGTCATCGTAAGTTCTACGATCAGATGTTAGCGGATACTTGCCAGCATGAGAGAGATAAGATAACGGATGAGATCGATGTCACCACCGTCAAAGACTACATGCAGGTATAAATCATTTCAAATTTTTGAAAAAAAAGGCAACTCTAACTCTTTTATCATTAAGGTTTGGGGACAGTGCATTTTTAAGTGTCATGTCTAAATTCTGGAAATAAAACCTCCTTTCTCAGTATATAAACATGTAATTTAGCTCTGTACATCTCTAAAGAGCACCGTCTTGAAAACTAAACAGGAGCACTGTTTCTTTTTAAATTTGCAGTATCTTAGCAACCCTCATGAGATGTTGGCACAGTGAAAGTTACAAAATAATTAGGTTGAAAGAATCTCAATATTACAAATGAATTGAAATTATTTTGTACATTATTCTTATATTATTATTATATTATATTATTATATTTGTACACTATTCACATGAGTGTTATGATGACAGATGATAGCATCACTTATACGGACATTGTTTCTTCTGATATTATGCAGTATCTTAGCAACCTTGACGAGATGCCCGCGTATATGGGAGGAAGAGAGAATCTTTGGAGAAAGTTGGATTTAAACGGTAAGTGGTGGATTGAATCTGATAACATTAGGGACTATATATTAACAGTGGATATGTAGGTCTAAAAAAATAAGTTTCTGCAAGAGTTATGTTCTCTATAAGATTCATGCATTTTGGGCATTAGAGCAGATGGGAGACTAGCTCAATTATAACATAGTGATTTATCAAATTGCCATTTGACATTTCTGTATGTATTGTGATATTAAAGGAAACCAAAACCTTCATACTAAGTTACTTTTATTGTAAAGTTTAAGATATTTGAAAAATATCAGTGAAAATTTGAACAAAATCGGGCAAGGAATAAGGAAGTAAGAGATTTTTGAAATGACTAGTCACTAGAGGGCGGTATTCAATTTGATGACATCATCTGTGGACAACTCTCCATGCCTTTTGTACATCAAATTTCATGTTTTTCCTTCTTTCTTGTGATTGAGATAATGTACTCCCCTGAAAGCAAGATATAGAATGCAAAATGATATTCTACTTCACATGTTATGAAGTCGGATCAAGAACACAAATAAATACGAAGAAAACAAAAAAAATTGTGAAATTTTATGTACAAAAGGCATGGAGAGTTGTTCACAGATGATGTCATCAAATTGAATACCGCCCTCTAGTGACTAGTCATTTCAAAGTGCTCTAACTTTCTTATTCCTTGCCTGATTTTGTTCAAATTTTCACTGATTTGATTTAAATCTTTCAAACTTTACAATAAAAGTAACTTAGTATGAAGGTTTTGGTTTCCTTTAAACTATAGCTTTCTTCAGGCCCACTGCAATACTTAAAACTACTTACGCGCTCTATAAAGCAAACATGCCTAATGCCTAATCGGTGACCATTGGTCCCCCATAGTCCCCTTTTTTATGTTAATGAGAGCTGAATTGATAAAATAACCACCTGTCAGTGACCATGCAGGGAGGTCTAATCCCTCCTGGCCAATTAGTGCAGAGTGGCTTTTATATATGTGTGATTTCTTTGAAACTTTCACCAATCTATTCTGAGTTTTTGCTTTTGTTCAGAGCAACTTTCTAGAAAGGTTGAAATTCCCTCTGATTCGCAATCTATTTTGATATCAATTGAGACCAGACAAATAAATGTGTATTCTCTCTTTGCTCTGTTCATTTTATGATAAAAATAGTGCGGTTTTTGTCATGATATCTATTTTTTTCTGCTTGCAGTCCTTCCCAGGACCACCATTCTGTATGACATCATTGATTATCTGAACCGCGGGTCCATGTCGGATCGTTTGAGGCCCGAGATTCGGCTTCTCACATCCAGGCCTCTCACACAGGAGATGCAGCTCAAACACATCAAGCTCATCTCGAAACTCAGGTAAACATTGAAAAGCCTCTCTCACACTTGACACAGTATGGTAAAAGCTTGTTCACATTGCTGCATGGTCTCCCTCTTGGTCTAGCTCCTTCCATTCTTCCCTCCAATACATCTTTTAAGACACTTTCATTGGTGCCTTTTAACATGACCAAAGTATTTGATTTTTCGTTCCTTAACTAATCGTACTAGTGCAATTTGTTTACACCCTGCTATGTGTAATATCTCTTTGTTGGTTTTCAGGATATTTTCATTACATTTCAAAAGATGTTATTCTATTTCCAATGGCCTTGCTCATTGTCCATGTTTCTGCTCCATACAATAGGACAGACCATACATAACAGTTTACTAGTCTCAACCTAAGTTCATAGTACTGTTTCCTGTTATGAAAAATTCACAGAAGTGTTAAGAAGTTAATCCCATAATATACATTTATTGGATGTTATTTTTATTCCAGGACCCCTCTCCTGACCCCCATTCCAGCTGGCAGTCTGCCGCCCTCGCGTGGTCCGTCTCCTGGAGTGACTTCCAGACGTTCCAGACAGGCAAAACAGCGTGCTTCGAAGATGAGGAAGATGTACATGTCTCCAACAGAGGTGGGTACATCATCATCACTCAAATTGGCAACACCGATTGTTTTTTTAACATTCAGCTTCAACAATTTTTTTAATGAGAATCTAACTTACAGCCCTTTTGACTTTTGTATCAGATTGCTATGTTCTCATTGTTTAAACTAGTTGATTATAATATAATTTGTATCAGAATTCTGATTTTGAGTTACACTATATTTTATTAAGCCTCTAAACTACATTGGACTTCATCTTTACGGTAAGATATATGTTAGTGGTCAAACTGGTTAAGAAAAATAGATAGATGGAGGGATGGATAGATGGAAAGATATATATATATATAGGACACAAGGTAGATAAATAAAAAACACCGGAGAAGTGAATATTCCACTGACGTTTCGGGCATAGCCCTGGCGGACGGCGCTATAGCTGCCTATTGAAAGCAACAGAATACAGCTCTTACGCAGATGGCATGTTCCGATAACTACACTGGCGGGAATGTGCCCCTTTAATATTTTTCCAAAATGTCTCTTTCAGGATCCTGATATGGTTCCACAAAACACCGCTCGGACGGAGAGACTGCCCGGCCCTGGCAACCATCAGTCCTCCCCAACCCCTCGTTTTGATCACCATGTCAACCAAGATGCCTTCGATGATGAAGATGCAATGGATGGTGACATGGAAGGGTGGGAGGATGAAGCGGATAAACTTTATACCTGGACGCAGAATCTATCGATGGAGGACATCGGTTTCATGACGCCATCATGACCACGTTGAACTCAAGAGAAAAGCAAGAATCATGTACTACGTTTTTTTAAAGGCCAGGGCCCTGTTTCACAAAACTTGTCATCAGTGAAAAATGACAGTTTTTGTTATAAGCTACTGAAATCCTTGCTTCTGATTGGTTATCAGCAGATTTGTCACTGATTTTTGTCATTTATCATTGAAAAAAGGCTTTGTGAAACAGGTCCCTGAAGAATATGAAGTAACTGTATTTAAATTCTAACCAGATAAGGGTATGATATATATATATATATATATCTGTATTTTTGTGAATAATATATGATAAATATATGATTTTCAGACAGTTAACATGGACGTTTGACTAATTTAAAAAAGAATAAACTATACCTATGAAGAGATGGTTAGCGTGGATTTCAGTTAAATGTTTTCAATTATCATGAAGATACATTCATTGTTCATTTTACTATGTCTGTCTACATTAAGTTTTCCTCTGAACATGAATATGTAATGTTTTCTTTTGAGAGGCATGAGGGTATTACTGTTGTGTGCCTAGAGTGTTTGATTTCAAGTTAGTTTGGTATCTTCCAAATATTATATATCATTATTAATTGAATGTAACAGAAAATGACAAACTGTGTTCTACCTTTTATTGGCTGGGAGATATCAAAGTTCATTCTTTATTCGTTCTTCAGTTTAAAAAAACATGCAAAACATTAAAATATCTACAAAGCATTTTCAAGGTGAAATACAATGCACATTGAATGAATTTATATAAAATAAGAAGAATAAAAGGACCATCATTGAAAGCCTATTGAGGCTGGACAGGTTGATGGTCCAAAGAAATATCAAGTTATAAAATTAATATTTTGGCGGAGAAAAAAAAAGGTGTTGGGGGTATTTAATTATTAAAATTATTATTATTATTTATTTAAAAATTTAATTAAAAACAACTGATGAAATAATGATAACCTATCGATAGGAAGATAATCGGTATAATATCAATATTACCCATTTCTAATTTTTCATATTGATTCAGGTACTCGATATGGTGTACATGTAAGAATAAATAGAAAATGATAATAATAATAATATTCCGCTTTTATATAGCTCCCACTAACGATGTGTCTGAGTGCTTAACAGATATATTATTTCCCCGGTCATCAGATTCAGGCTTACCTGCACACATTGTATGCACATTCTCCACTCCCTTGGGAACATTATATTGAAGGTTCTCCCAACAGAGCAGTAGATAATTCAATCAAGTATTTAACCTAGTTACTACAATTGCTTTATGTATTTTCAAAACCAGTATAATAATTCTATCAATATGCTTTTTTTTTTAATGAGATTGAACAACTAACTTTGCCAACATAATGGGATCAAAGATGGAAGGACAATATTTCTTGAACAGTTTTCCAACCTCGATCAATTTAAACCAAAACAAATTACAGAATGATCAATAATATTAACAATACGGAATATGAACAATATTTAAAAAATGTTCTAAAGCAGCACAAAATGCCAATGTAGGATGATGTTGCTATGTGTGATTTTTTGTAAAGAATTTAATCAAGCTTCATTGAATTTGTATATATTTCTTCATGTAAATATTCAGAAGTTATATATTGAGTATGTATATATTATAAACATTTTTACTAATATCATATGCATATCTGAAAATTCATGTAGATATAATTGTTGTTCATTAAAGTGTATTTAAACAAAATCTGATTTCCCAGTTTCAATTCATGTAAGCTTGCAGATGAGTGGAGATGCTATTGGAGAAGAATAAAATACAGAGAAAAAAAGATAATCAGCTTAGAGTACATAATATTTCCTTTCAATAAAAAAAAAAGGCTCTGAATAGTGCAGGATATTGAGTGAACAAGTGGCATTTGTGAATAATTTAATTTAAATCAACCTCCTAGATTAATTTTTGTTGGGGGGAGGGGGTGGAGGCTTTTGGATGAAAAGAGAAGGAGGGAAACACAAAAGCCCTCACTTATTAAAGTTGTTTCTGAGAAGATTGATATTCAAGGTATGAACTCAGTCCATGTGCATTCTATCTAGAAAAAGAGAGGTAGAGGAGAAAGCGAGAGAGCTAGGGAGAGACATATATAAATATATATATATATATATATATATATATATATGTATGGAGGTAGAGACAGAGAGAGACAGAAAGAGAGATGAGGGAGAGAAAAGATAGTGACAGAGAGGGAAAATGGGAGAGAAATGGGAGAGAGAGAGAGAAAAGGAGAGACAAAAATAGAGAAATGTTCCGTCTCCGCCCTGCTGATCTCAAAGCTGTTCTCTTATTTACCATCGTTCAACAAAATTGCGAAGAAGATAAAACAGTGCTTCGGTATTAAGATTGTCATTGCAAAGTCCATATTTACTTTAACTTCTTCCCTTCCCCTCTGTCCCTGTGCTGCTGTACACATTTAAAAAAAAAAATTCTGAACGTAGAATCATACCAAAGTAGTTATGCATAAAACTGTTCATCGCAGAATTGTCAAACACAGAAATATTTTGTTAATTCTTACTGTATGTCATCACGATCCTTTCTTTGTCGAAGGATAGGCCTATATGTAACCCTAGGAATGTCTTACTCTGAGAACCTTATGCAAGGAAGCAGCTTTATAAGTTTGTACTCTATTTGGATATTCTCTTAAAAACCATGCAGTGATAATTCTGATCAGGAGTAATCTTGTGAACTCATTGATAAGACCAAAAGGATGGAGTATGACCCCGTAATCTGATGGAATCTAATAACAATGGCAAAATGCTTCAAACTTAGACCGACTAATATACAGTGCTCCTAATGAACATATTCCCAGTTTTGGTTGTTAGAGCGATTGCTAGTGTTCCTTGTATGCCGCTTGCATCTAATGTTTTACACCTGGCATCAACTGGATATTTCTTTTTATCGTGAAAGGCCAATAGTTTCTTCTTCGTAACCGTTAACATCTATGCAAAATGGCTCCAATTATTGGAGCTAGTTATTTTCGTTTGCCTCGCCTAATCGTGATGTTAGTGGTGATTGTAGGTCTCTCAGTCCTGCCGGTAAGTTGGATCCATTTAAAGCTTATCTGCCGTAGTTTACAGGAGGGATTAGACTGCCCTGCAAGGTCACTGGACAGGTGGTTATCTCATCAACTCAGCTCTCAGTTAACATAAGAAAAAGAGGATCATGGGGGACCAAT